TACCTTGCATGTACCAGGATCCCATATGGGTGCCGGTTCTAATCCCAACAGTTCCACTTCCCATCCAGCTGCCTGCTTGTGGCCTGGGAAGGTAGTCGAGGACGGCCCAAGGCTTTGGAACCCTGCAACCACGTGGGAAACCCAGAAGAAGCTCCTGGCTCCTGGCTTCAGATTGGCTCAGTTCCAGCCATTGTAGTCACTGGGGAGTGAATCATCAGATGCAAGATCTTCCTCTCTGTCTCTCCTCCTCTCTTTTTATCTGACTTTGCAATAAAATTAAAATAAATCTTTAAAAAAAAAAAAGAAGAAGCTTCTGGCCCCGGCTTCAGATTGGTTCAGCTCTGGCCATTGTGGCCACTTGGGGAGCGAATCATCAGATGGAAGATCTTCCTCTCTGTCTCTTTTCCTCTCTATATATCTGACTTTGAAATAAATAAATAAATCTTTAAAAGCAAACAAACAGAAAAATGATATTGCTTCCCAAAAAATCCAGAACTCTGTTGGCAAGGAACTGCAGTGGTGCCCCCAAACTAGTCACTGAAATAGTCCTTTGGCAGAATAGTCTGTGCACTCAGAGTGATTCCAGTCCAAGGAGAGAAACATAAAGAAATACATAGTGTTACCAGCATTAAATGTATGATCTTAAAAAATAATAAAATATTTTAGAAAGACAGGTAATAGAACCTATTTGAATTCCATGCTAACCAATGAGAGTAAGTCACGTCACAAATCCAGCTCCAACAGAGCAATCTCATCGGCAGTGTTAAGGAAAGGTACATAGTTGGGGGCAGATACAGAAAAACAAACAAAAAAATATCTAAGTTGTTTATCTCAGTTGTTTAGAATGAATTATTACTAGGGCAGTTTTTGTTTTTGTTTGTGTTCTTCCTGGGCTGCATTTACCTTTTTCAAGTATTTATTTTTCTAAAAGGCAGAGAGGGACAGGTAGAGACTTCCTGTCCACTGGTTTATTTTCCACATGTCCTGAGGCTGTGCCAGGCTGAAGCCTGAGCCAGGAACACAGTCCAGGACTACCACACAGGTTGCAGGAACCCAATGACTTGAGCCATCATAGTTGACTCCTAGGAGCCACACTGGCAGGAAGCTAGAGTCAGGAGCCAGCACTGGGAATTGATCCATATGGGACCCAGGCAGTTTAACTTACCCACGAGGCCCAATGCCTGGCCCTGCTTTCTTTTTGATCCTAGGTGCTACTTCATCATAGGTAGTTAGTCTTTGTTTAAGTTCTCTGTCTTAAAACACAGCTGTCTCCAAATGTCATTCCCAAACCCAGTACCCAGTACCCAGTACTGTTCAGTCAACTTTGAGGAGTCAGTGCCAAAAGGAACGGTGGTTAGTCATTTTGTTACATTTTCACATTCCCTAGGAATAAACGCCATTAAAATGCATGACCTGTTGTCCAACTTTCAGACATTGCACTTCATGTTTAATGGACTTAGCAGCCCCTGAATCATTGCTGCAGGTTCAACCTATGAGGTAGGAGTGCCGTGGACTGGCTATCACTAGTGGCCAGGTCATAAAGTCCCACTCACCCCCAAATGTTTTCTTTTTTGTGCCAAGCAGATTGTAAGAAGTTGAGAATTATTGTTTTGATTGTGTGCACACTATTAGGTAAAAGGGCGTGGCTTCTGTTTACGATCTGTTTCTCTGATGAATTTATTACTAACCAAAGTACATGGAGTTGAATTGCTGTTGTACCTACATAGCTCCACCTCCTGCAGCTGGCGCCTACACGGTGTGCCAAGGGAAGAGGACAGAAAAAAAACCCATCCTCCATGCATCCTTTAGGTCAGGCACGTGAGGGAAGTACCGTGAATCAGACTAGCCCAAGATACTTTCACCAGGATGAATGCAGTAGCCAGGAACTCCATGTAGGTCTCCATATTGGGTGACAGAGGCCCAAATACTTGGGCCACCCTCCTCTACAGAAGTAAGGAGCTGGGTCAGAAGGGAACTCAAACCAACATTCCAATATGGGTTGTTGGTATGGCAGGCAGCAAATTAACCCTCTGCTCTATGGTGTTAACCCCTTTATATGAATTTAGTAGTTCCTGCTACTCTTGAATAATAAAGTATCTGTGATGATTCTTCCTTCTGCCAACCCCCAAACTCATTGGAGCTATTGTTATAGAACTCCCAAAACTGAGTCCACTCTCTGATGCACAGAAAGCCAGTCATGACATTGGGGTAGTGGAAGAAAGTAGATATTTAATGCAAAGTGTAGAGCAAGAAGCTCAACAGTAAATGATTAGTTCCCAGGCTCCCTGAGGAGTTGGGGTGGCAATTCTTACAGAACTGGGACCAAGAGGTATGTGATCAGCTCAAGTCCAAACTCCTGCTTGGCTAGTGGTGCTCATGACCTTCCTTTGGTTGACCAATGATGCTGTGCTCTTTAGGCAGTGTATAATGGTCAGGTGGGCTTCGGCCCGTCTGGGAGGTTACATCTAAGTGATAATTACTTTCTCCAGAATTTCCCTATACAAACCCCTCCAGACAGTACTGCAGAATAAAGTTTGACTTATTGGAGTTTTTTAGTTCAGTGATTAGAACTGTAGCGGACCAGCTGCCCAAATCTCTCTATTCACTGAATTCCTTTTGATAAAGGACAGACCAAGAACACTTTGGGTTAATGGACACAGAGGAGAGGCTGAGTCCTGCCTTTACATCATAAGGCTTCAGTCTCCATTCAAAGAATTGTTTCTAACAGAAACTTTCTTTCAGCAGATGCAAACTGTTTTAAAATTTTTTCCTATATTCTCTGTTAAAACAGAAAGGTTGGTTTTGGGTTTTTTGGATTTTTACCTTATAGTGAACTTGTCTGGATTTCACACAGGTTGCCTGCCATTTTTTCAAGGTTATTTGCCCACTACCACACCCTAAATTTGAAACATTCTCTTCCCACCCATAAGAAACTTTGTGCCCAAGTCCTTCCCCTCTTTCTTTCTAATAGCCCTGGACAATCTCTGCCTCAAGCTCTACAGATTTGCCTATTGTAAATATTCTATATAAATGCACCTGTATAATATGGATCTTGTGGATTTGCTGATGCTACCATGTCAAATTACCATAAACTGAATGGTTTAAGACAACAAGCATTTATTTTGCTATGAATCTGTGGATCAGGAATCCAAAATCCTGGGATCAGCATTTTGTCCTTCTAGGGGTGTGGTCATCTTGGTGTTTCATGGGTTGGAGATGGGCAATTCTCATCTCTACCTCCACGTTCACATGACCTTCCCGCAAGCGGAGGTTATTGGGTTTGGACCCTGGGTTCTCTTGTATAACATCATCTTAACTAATTCCATCTACGAGTCACTGTAAGCTTCTTTGGGGAACTTGGGGGAGACACTGCTCAGGCCAAGGCGGGGACCTTTTGTGTTTGGCTGGCTTGACTTAGAATAATTTGTCAGGGTTTATTCATTCAAGAGTGTATCAAAACTTCATTCGCTTTTATGGCAAAATAATATTCCATGATGGGAATATATTCCCCTTCATCAGTCGATGGACATTTGGATTGCTTCTACATTTTGTTTTTCGTGAATCCTGAGTGGGAGAATTCATGTGCAAATTTTTGTGTGGACATATGCCTTTATTTCTCCTGGGTTGGACTTGTTTAGCATTTTATATCTGTCAAGTCTGAGGAACATACCCATGCCATTTTGTGGGAATGGCTGTCAGGTATTTAAACTGTGGTTTATTTTCTGCCTCTGGGATTTGGTTTATATTTCAGTAACTGTTCGGTGAGTCTCCTTTGTGGAAAATATACTTTTAGCTTGATGGAAATCTAGTGTTAACATTCGGGAAAGAGCGAGAATCAAGATAGTGGAGTAGGGTAAGGACCCGTTTAAACAGACAGAAAAACATTCAGGAAAAAGCTATCTAGCCTTTCACCTGCTATCTGTGCCCCCTTCTTCTTATATCAATAAGCAGTACCTTTTCACCTTTTAATTCCCTTAGAAAGCCCTTTCTCTTTGTAACATTCCTCTCAGTCCTGTGAAACCAGTGAGGCCCAGGTAGCTCCAGATCCACTTGACTTCCTTGGGAAAAGTCGACAGGTACCAAACTGTGATGCAAGAGGATGCCCTTCCCTTCTCCATGGCACAGTCTGTGGCTTTTAGGCCGCCCCTGTCTCCAGCGGGCAGAATGTGTGTCTCAGCCACCAAAGAAAACTTGCTAGCCTCAACCACAGATCCCACGGTAGATCTCTCATTCAGTGGATCTGGAGTGCAGCCTGAGAACTTACCACTTCTAGCAGTGCCCTAAGAGAATGTTGCTGTGGCCCCGGGGCCTGGCCTAAGTGTATGAGTCACTTGGGAGTCATTGGGCCAGGGCTCCTCAAAAATGCCATCTGCCCGTGAGTCACCGCAGGATGAATTCACTACCTGGAGTCAGCAGGCCTGGGGTAGGGCTGCCCATGAGAGCTTCTTGGGTGATGCCAATGCACTTTGAGCTCAGAGGTTGAAGTACCCATGTGTTGCCCTCTGCTTGCACAGTTCTTTATTTTTGTACAACAGATAATAACTACATTAAAATAAACTTGCCAGCTTCGAGCAGATGAGCAAGACATGCCTCACAATATGTAGCACAGGGATGCTCTGTAAGTTACAAGATTTTTTCAAGAAACAAAATCAGGCCAGAAAGATGTAGGTTAGAACTAGTGAGTAAATGGTGCAGACTTTTAACCATAATATTTGCAGCAAATTAAAATAATCTAGTGTGGTCTTTTAAATGTATTTCATGGGTCCTGCAGTTGAGCACAATAGATACTTACAAGGAGCCCAAATTCATTCCTTTAAATTAGTGCAGTTACTTTTTTGTTTCTCTTTCTTGCAGTTTCTTGGCAAACTAACGGAGACTTGCTTATATCAACTTTAGGGCCTTATTCTGCATATTTAATTCTTGTTACCTAGAGTGATGATTGTTTTATAAAAATAAAAGAAGCATTCTGTAAGAATTATTCTTCCGTTTTCTCTTGGCAGATCACTTACAACCCTGGGGTTGGTTATATCCTCCCTGGCTGACCAGGCGGCTGGCAAGGGTAAAAACAAATTTGTGCCTTATCGGGATTCAGTCCTCACTTGGCTTCTTAAGGTAATTCATTGCTCTAGAGTCTTTTCCAACTAAAACATTGGCAGCTGTAGACAGATGAGCTGAAAGATGTGTGCACAGAACTGCTTCACCATCCTACTTCCTAAGACCACAGGATGAGACCTCTTTTCTGTTGCTTTCTCCTCCATTGTGATGTTGTTCAACAAGCTTTCTTCATCCTAGTGAACATGAAAGGGGCCTCCTCACATCTTGTCATCAAGTTACATGGGAAGTGCAAACCCACTTCCACATCAGGTTTTCCTCATAGAGAACAATGTCACATGCTTGTGCTTATTTTGCCTTATCCTTTGGCTTCCTGAGATGCTCTTTGAAATACTTTACAGGACAATTTGGGGGGCAACAGCCAGACTTCTATGATAGCCACCATCAGCCCAGCAGCAGACAACTATGAAGAAACCCTGTCCACATTACGATACGCAGATCGGGCCAAAAGGATCGTGAACCACGCTGTTGTGAATGAGGACCCCAACGCAAAAGTCATCCGAGAGCTGCGGGAGGAAGTAGAGAAGCTGAAAGAGCAGCTCTCCCAGGCTGAGGTCAGTCCACCCCGTGCCTCTCTTGTGTGGCCAAGTCCACGATTTGTGTATTTGATGGCAAAAGGTGTGCCGGCTTGCAGTTTTAGGTCATGTGAGTAAACGTTTCACGCTATGTTGATATAAGTTGGAGACTAAGCACAGTGGTGACCCATATAAGTAACACAAGACTTCTATCCTGGCAACTTACAGTCTAGAAAGTAAATGACTCTTTGTTTCAGTAACTCAGTTAGCCCTTGAACTTCCAGGGTGAAATCCTGAGAACCAAGCATGTTGTTCTCAGTGGCATTGTGGGCCATGTTTCCATGGGAGCTGGCAGCTTACCAGGAATTCACTTGGGAGTCCTCCCCCCCCTTATTCAGTCATGCAGTTAGCATGAGCAAAGATTAAGCAAACATTAAGACTAATTTAGGAATCTCCTTTTACTTTTATATTTACATCATGTCCTGGTGGGAAGCAGAAAAAAAATTTCATTGTTATCATCTCTTCAAACATTAATGATCGCATACTCTTGCAAGCAAGTGTTGCTTTTTGCAGATAGCTGGGTGAGGTGGTACGGTTAGAGTAGGTAAAGAAGATAAGATGAAACCACACCAGTGTTCATGTTCTAAACTTCCAGAGGCCAGGCTGTGAGTGTGGACTGACAGGCCTAAGTTCACACTTCTTTAGACCTCTCTCTTTTGACCCCACTTGAGTTGGGAAGGAACTATGAACAATAAAAGTTACAGCCATGTGTTATTGATCCAGGTACTATATAAATATTTTTACCCATCCGCATAGTAAATCAAAAAGTAATCAATGGACTAAACAGAAAAGAGGCAAAATTCAGAGATCTGAATAGGCTATTAAATGGTAGGCTTGGTGTTTCATTATAAATAACTGATTATTTACATGTCTTCACGTTTAGGTTTTGGGTTCTAACACTGTAGGAAGCTGTGTTGTTTTATCCCTGATCTTGAAACTTAGATGTTGAGAACTTAGCACAAGGCCTCGCACAAAGCACATGCTCAAGAAATGTTGTCGTCGTTTGGTTTTGACAATTATGAAATTTGCATTGAGCTCATCAACTGTGCTTTATTTTTATTGATGTCAAGAGAATAGCAAAACACCAAACAGATGCTGATAAACTTTGACAGGAGTCTTGATTCTAAGATGAAAATGAAGTGGTGCTGCAATTGGTTTATAAGTAGATTATCAGCTTACTTATTCCTGGCCTTAAATTTGCATTTCCGCTGTCACCTTCTTGGGTCAGATGCTGGAACAGTACCAGCCAAAGGAAAGAACAGAAGACCCGTGTATCCGCCATGAAGTTTCTCGGATGTCCTCCTGCACCCTGCACTAAATGTCACTCTCAGGCTCCATTAAAAGAGGGGGCCTCGGGTTCACCCAGCTGGCTTCTAGCTTCTGGATCATCACCATTTCAGCTGCTTCTCCATCCTCTACTGTCTGTTATTTCTAGGGTCTTACTCGAAGGGACTCATCTCACTACTACAGGATGTCAGAGCACATCTGCTCTGCCTTGGTCCCAAGCAAACCTTCCCCCAAACTGTTAAGCTGCAGATGTCCATATAGATACCGTTAGTTATTCTGAGCGAACTCAAAGGGAAGCCACTGCCCTTTTAAGCAGATACCTACCTGCTTCTGAGTGAATACTAAGCACACTAAATATATGACCTTCAGCGGGGAAAAAAGTAGCCTAAGGCCCCTAAAACAAATCTTTAAGTAAGTGGGAGAATCTTAACTTTTGCTGATAGATTAGTATGACCCTAAAGCATGTCTGGTGGTGGTGGTTGTGGTGGGGGGTGTGTGTGTAGACCTCTGTCTTCATGAAAACTCCATCTGCTTAGGCAGCCTTTGTTCCTGCTGTGGCATTTCGGAGGTGAACTGTAGCGTCTTCTGGGTCATTGCATAGGAAATGTGTGACCGATGAGATGATGCTGTTAATGCGAGCAGCCAAGTCTCTGATGCTTCATTTGATTACTAAAGGTCTGAAACCCATCTCGCAGCGCTTGACTTCATTGTTTCCTGTCAAGCACCTGATAGGATAAAGATGGACAAGGAGGACTTGTCCAGCATATTGGGGAAATTCTACAAGTCATATGTCTCTGGTTTCATTTTAAAGGCCATGAAGGCCCCTGAGCTGAAGGAGAAGCTCGAAGAATCCGAAAAACTGATAAAAGAGCTGACGGTGACCTGGGAAGAGAAGCTGAGGAAAACAGAAGAGATTGCACAGGTAGCTTGGTGACTTAGGCCCAGCATGTTGTGACTCTTTTTCATTACTGTTCTTTGTGTGTAGCTGCCTGTTCTTTCTGTCTTTTAAGGGCCAGCTCCAAGGCCTCTTTCTGCTGAACTGAAGAATGAGGAGTCAGTTTTAAGCACTGACTCTGTGGCTTTTATATTTTTCTTAAGATCCATTTATTTTTATTTGAAAGGCAAACTTTACAGAGAAAAAGAGAGATGGAAAAGAAAGGAGGAGATCTTCCAGGGACTGGGTTCACTCTGCAAATGGCTGCAATGGCCAAAACTGAGCCAATCAGAAGCCAGGAGCCAGGAACTTCCTCTGGATCTCCCACTTGGGTGCAGGGAACCAAGGATTTGAACCTTCCTCCTCTCTGTTCCCAGGTCATAAGTAGGGAGCTGGATTCAAGTAGAGCAGGTGGGACTGGAACTGGTACTCACCTGGGGTGCTGGTGCCACAGGTGGAGGATTGGGGTGCTGGCCCCTGATCTGTATCCTAGTCAGCTTACAATATTGACCAGTTGTTAGCTAAGAGTGCCAGAGAGCACTGGATGTGACAAGCATAGAACACGAAACGCCTTTCCTAATCCCATTATCTGCTCTTCACATTTGTACAGAAGTTTGTTCCATGATTATTTTTCTAAACAATCTTTTATGGTTTTGCTTTTATAATTTTCAAAAGACCTATTGACTTATTTATTTGAAAGTGTGAGAGGGCCTGGCTCGGTGGCACAGTGGTTAAGGTCCTTGCCTTGCACGCCCGGGATCCCATATGGGCGCCGGTTCTATCCTGGCAGCCCCACTTCCCTTCCAGCTCCCCGCCTGTGGCCCAGGAAAGCAGTCTAGGACGGCCCAAAGCTTTGGGACCCTGCACCCACATGGGAGACCCGGAAGAGGCTCCTGACTTCGGATCGGCATAGAATCGGCCGTTGTGCTCATTTGGGGAGTGAATCATCGGACGGAAGATCTTCCTCTCTGTCTCTCCTCTCTGTATATCTGCCTTTCCAATTAAAAAAATAATAAAAATAAATCTTAAAAAAAAAAAAAGAGTGTGAGACAGAAAGAGATCTTTCATTCATTGGTTCGCTCCTTAGGTGCAGCCAGAATAAACTCCAAGGCTGGACCAAGCTGAAGCCAGGAGCCTGGAGCTCCATCTAAGTCTCCCACAAGAGTACAGTGGTCCAAGCACTTGGGCCGTCTTCCACTGCTCTCTCAGGCGTGTTTACAAGGAGCTGAATTGGATGTAGAGCAACCAGGACTCAAACGGTACTCACATGGAATGTCAGTATCACTGGTGGCTGCCTAACCCACTGTATCACAGCACCAGCCCCTACTCTGTAATTTCTCTAGATCACTTGGCAAAGCCTGAGGCTAGCTGGTTGTTGGATAATTGATAACATACTACACATCACAGCCTTTTGATTGATTTGATTCTTGAGTTTATTGGAAAATGCTCTATGAGTTTTACTGAAGATACCACAAAGCAAGGAATAATTGTGCGGGGCTGGGTGTGTTAGGATTCTGTATTTCGTGTTTTGTGAACATTTTACTCTCACGTAGCATTGGAAATGTGGGACCATCCCACTTAGGCAGCTTGAGATGGTTACTAGAACCCGGTCTAGCCACTTGCTATAGAGGTCACTTCAGAAGGTTTATGGGGGAGATGGTGCAATGGCTCAACTGGATAATCTTCAATAATTGCAAGCACTGAGATCTCATATGGGCACTGGTACATGACCCAGCTGCTCTGCCTCTGGTCCGCCTCTCTGCATATGACCTGGTGAAACAGCAGAGGATGGCCCTAGTCCTTGGGCCCCTGCATCCACATGGGAGATCTGGAAGAAGCTCCTGGTTGCTTGCTTCTGATCAGCTCAGCTCCAGCCGTTGTGGCTGTTTGGGGAGTGAACCAGTAGATGAAAGATCTGTCTCTTCCTGTCCTGCCTTCCCTCTGTAAATTTACGTAATAAAAATAAATAAACCTCTTTTTGAGAAGTTTGTGGAAAATAGCATTAAACGATGCTTTAATTGGTACAGAAATTATTTGAAATCCATATGTTTTCAGATTTTTTTGCACCAAAATGAATTTCTCTTTCATTTCCATTTTCCACAATTTTAAAATACTGTCATATATTTTTTTACAAATGTCATTCATAGACATACTCCCTGTCTCACATTGCTTTAGGCTTTTCCACAGCACTTAACACCATTAAAATTCAATAGGATTATATCTTGTCTTTTTATGATCTGTATTCTACTAGGATTTCACATCTCATGAAAACACGAACTTTATTATCTATTGAATTTTCAACCCTAAGTCAGGACCCACCACATTGAAGACTAATAACTCTTCAATAAAAGGGGGGTGGAGTTTGGCATAACCAGTTAGACCCCTGCATCACACTCAGTGCCTGGGTTTGACTCCAGCTCCAGCTCTTTGTCTCCAAGCATCTTGCCAATAAAGACCTCAGCCAGCAGCAGCAGTGATCCAAGTGACAAGGCTCCTGCCGCCCACGCTGGAGACCTGGATTGAGTTCCTGGCTTCTGGCTTCAACCTGGCCCAGCCCCAGCCGAGGCAGGCATTTGAAAAAATGAACAGCACGTGGAAGTGTTCCTTTTCTTTTCTCTCCTTCTCCATCTGTCCCCTTCTCTCTTACTCTCCCCTGCTCAGATTGAAAGTGGAAAGAGAATGAATAAATGAATGAATTCAAGGCTTTTTGCAGTCTGTTCTTCCACTCCCACCCCCACCACTGCTTTTTCAGATTTGCTAGATTCCTAGCTCCTGAAATCAGCCACAATGTCCAGAATCTGTACCATGCTCCCTGTGTCTGCTCCCAGAACACCCTGTCCTTGTCTCACCACTCCTGCATCTTTTCCTGTTGAAATCCTTCATGCTTCGAGAACCGTCTCAAATGTCTTCTCTTTCTGAAACTTTTCCCAGCTTAACCTGGCTTGGTTGCCTTCCTCTGAAGCCCTGCAGCACCAACTGCCCCTCCAGTGCCACCATGCCCTCCTCTCTCAGGTTCTAGTTACGTTCTAGTTATCTAAAATGTTAGCCCCTTAAGGGCCCAGCGGTTGCTGATTCAGCCTTCATTCCCCTAAATCACTCTCAAGAGGTGTCACACACGGTAGGCGCTCTATACTTGGTGGAGCTGAGTAGAATGTGTCATCCTATTGGCACTGTCCCCAGAAAAAGTGACTTACTCTTTCCGTGGATACATCTTATGAACAGAGCAACAAATACAGTCTCCTGCCCTTGTCTGTGCCCAGGAGAGACAGCGCCAGCTTGAAAGCATGGGAATATCTCTGGAGACATCCGGTATCAAGGTGGGGGACGACAAGTGCTACCTGGTCAACCTGAATGCAGACCCTGCTCTTAATGAACTTCTGGTTTACTATTTAAAGGTGAGAATATGTGAGTTGATGACTGCAGTCCTAAACCATGTACAATTCCCAGTTGAATCGAGCTGTCAAGCTCCCATGATTGTGCATCTAGTACCCAGCTTAATTCAGTGGGCAGTGTGTTCAGATCATTATTGAGAAGAAAACACAGCTAGCTCTCTTGTTGTACCCTGGAGCTGTGCATCTGGGAGCTCATTTCCGGCAAGAACTTCATAGAGAAAGAGTATAGTATACTGGTAACCCTGATAGCCCGAGGAGGTGCCAGATGTGAGGCCACAGGGAGCTGAGAATATCTGAGTTCAACCACAGAGATTCTGAGATGCCCTCAAGGTTAGTCAGTTTCGCTTCTGAGTAATTCCAGTGCAATCTCAAGATCAGCAGGAGCTCAAGGCAGCCCCGTGTGCTTGCTAGATGTGACAACAAGGTTCTCCCAGGCGATCCCTGCAAAACCCACATTCTCAGGAAAGAACTTGTGGTCCCACTATCAACCCGTAAGTGTGGAAATGAGATTGTGGCCTCTTGGAGCTGGCACTTGACCTCAGGATGTGTCACTGACCATGTTGGAGAGAGTACTGTAGTGATTCTGAAGGTTTCTTGGGTCAGTACCTAGTTACACTTATAACCAACACTGAGAATTCCAAAGAGCTTTGCTGCATCTCAGTTCTCCCTGCCTGTGTTTATTGTATTAAAACTTAAGATGAAGAACATTTTAAACTACAAGCATAAGCAAACATTCAACAATTAGTCTTCAGAAGCCATAGCATCAACCCACAGCACAGAGCCTCTGGAAAACTGCACCCTACATATGTGATAGAGAGCAAAAACAGCATCTCAGGAATTTTACCAAGTTGCTTTGCCCTCATGAACCCTCCCCTGACCCCAAAAAAAAGAAGCCATAGGGTTCTCAAACCAAAGTGTTTGAACTGCTGGCTTATTTTTTGATAAGTGAGGAATAAGACATCTTTTGAAAATAGGTCAATTAATTCACATTGAAGACCTGGGATTTGAAGGTGGCCTACATACACTATCCACGTACTTAAACAGCAGAGCACAGAGGGATTAGGCACTCGGGAAAGGTTAGATAGGCACCATGTTCCGGATCCTGACCTGCCAGATGAGCTACAAAGTACAACAGAGAAAAGGCAAGAATTAAAGTGAGGTGCCTAACTTAAAAATATATATATACATTATATATAACATAAATTATATATAATGCATATATAACATTTTATATTTATTTTAAAAATATATTTTAATATATACTATATTATATAAAAATGTATATGTGGATTATATAAAAATATTGTATAGATATATTATAATAAAAAGATGAAACATTTCCATATATGTATATATGGAGAGAGAGAGAGAGAGAGAGAAAAGGAAGATTTACAGAGAGAAGGAGAGACAGAAAGATCTCCTGTCCACTGGTTCACTCCCCAAATGGCCACAATGGCCAGAGCTGAGCCGATCTGAAGCCAGGAGCTCTTTCTGAGCTTCACTTGGGTACAGGGACTACCCTCTCCTGCCTTCTCAGACCATAGTCAGGGAGCTGAATGGGAAGTGGAGATTCCAAGACATGAACTGGCACCCATATGGAATGCTAGCGCTAGCAGGTGGAGGATCAGCATGTTGAACCACAGCACTGGTCCCAAGTCTCGTTCTTCTATAATTTTTCCATTTTTTCAGAGACATGCATATGGTGCAATAACCTCTGACTTACTGAGACTCCACTACCACACTTCTGGTCTGTTCATTCAAGAGATGGTTACAGGGTAAAGAAATGTTTCCAGAACCTTACTTTTGAAAGATCAAGCCTTACCCTTGCTGTCTTGCACCCATAAGGATCAGAAGCATCATGGTGTTTAAAGCAGCAGGAGAAAAAAAATGTCTGTATGAGTCCACAGGGGATGAGCAGTGCCACAATCCCCTATAGTGCTAGTGCTCAGGTGCCTGAAGTTCCAGGCACTTAAACGATGGATTCCAGGTATCCATCACACAGACGCATACAGCAACGCACAGACTTCAGTGCTCTCTGCAGTAACGGTGTTGGAAAATCAGCTGTTTTTTTATTATTATTATTAATTGAATTGCATTGTGTGACACAGTGTTGTGGGCACTGGGATTCCCCCCACCCCTCCCCAAATCCTCTCCCCATGGTGGATTTCTCTACCTTGTTGCATTATCACAGTTCAAATTCAGTTGAGATTCTTTCATTGGAAGCGTTTACCAAGCATAAAGTCCAGCATCTTATTATCCTAGTGAGTTCAACAATTTCTTGGTGAGACCATCTCTGGTCTGAAGGTAAAGCCAGCAAAGTATCATCCCAATCAATTAAAAGCCCCGACATAACATCAACAACAATTTACAACATTATGGCATTAATTGACATGGTATTGATTAACCAATATGTTAATAGGAAAATGCAGGTTCTTAACTACATCCTGTGACTTCTTCATAGACATTTCAATTTTGGTTTATATTAAGCCGGGTTCTATACACCTCAAAATGGCTATAGATTACTATTCAGCTGTCTTGTGTCTATTTTCATATTAGTATTTACCTGTTTATAGTGTTGAAGCATGATTTTGTTGAACTTGGTTGTTGTTCGGATGATCTTAACTGGCTTATAATTCTAGCAAGACATGTGTCATCAGTTTAGGTACACAACATTTTTTTTTTAACATTTCCAGAGTTACATGTTTTCATATATAACTTTCATGTCTTAGTGATTCTTACTTCTATTTACTCATTTTAAAACCACTTTGACTGTTAACTCTGATGATCTCAAAAGAACGTGTAAAATAGATCAGATGGAAAATATGCTGGTTGACACAGTCAGGTCACCTGCCCGTGGTCACATAAGTGGTAAGCCAATCAAGACAGAATTGTAACTCAAAGTGTTCTTCTATCACCTTTGATTTCCATATGTTTTAAAAACAACATTTAGTTGCTGTTGTTCAGAGTCTTTGCTTTCATGTGATGTTTACACCTTTTAAAAACATGTAGTGTGTTATGGTAAGCTTTTGATCTTTCACACTTGAGATAGCTGGCATTTTCTGGTTCACTGAAGACTTTTGTGAACATGCTACTGTTCCATTCAAGAATTGATGTTGGTAGCTTTTGTGGATTTACTCATCCATGTGGGTTTTTCTTCTTTCATAACCTCCCTGTAGGACCACACGAGGGTGGGTGCAGATACCTCTCAGGACATCCAGCTCTTCGGCATAGGCATCCAGCCTGAGCACTGTGAGATTGACATTGCTTCCGATGGGGACGTCACTCTGACCCCAAAAGAAAATGCCAGGTAAGGAGAGGCAGCCTCTGAAAGGACAGCCTCCTTCTGCCAGGGACACGCTGGATCCTCTTGAGGTGCTTTCTTACAATTGTGTAGAGTGGTTTAGCTACTAGAGCTCTGCAGTTACCATAAAGCCCGGATTGGCCAGGATTGAATTGTTCCTAAAAAGCAGTGACTCGCGACATGTGTGATTCCCAGCGCCCCTTGTTCTGTAGCTCTTTAGAGTTTTTGCAGCAGTCAGCACTCAGCTAATAAGAGTATGTGAGAAAAATAAGCCATCGAATAATTAGAAGTCAAAGTGATTTCATTTTTCTGTTTTAGACCTCGCCTCACAGCCCTTTAGCAAATTAGACTTTCATCACTCTTCTCCAGTTACTCATTTTGAGATGCTCTGTAAGTGGTGGAAGCTGTTACAAGAAGACTAAAATTGTCAACACCAAACACTTGGGTGGACTTTTCTCTCCTCATTCCCACCCCTTCCAAAAAAAAGGCCCATTGCTACCCCTCATTCTGCCAAAGGATCTGTTGAGCTGTCTTAATAAGCAGAGTGTGAATTCAGCCTAGCGATTTCACGGTGTTAATAGCCAGTAAGTGCAGTGGAAGGAATGTTGATCTGAAAGACCACCTGCCCATGTCCACCAGTGTAGCCCCACACACACCCAGAGACCCAGTGCCCACCATCGTACAGTCCAGCAAAGGCTGGTGATATGGTTTCCTCAACCCCTGTTGTTTATTTGATTTATATAGTTTGTTTGATAACTTTTCAGAACTTACTCCTAGTATTGTTTTCTTGTTTGTCTCCAGCTTTCTATTATGGAAAATTTCAAGCATAAAGATGGAAAAATTAGTGAATCAATCTCCCGTATACTTACAGTTCAGCTTCAAAAATAAAGATATTAATAGATAATTGTGTAATATTAATATGCCTTTCACATCTTTTCCTCTGACCCCTCTGGGTTATTTTAAAGAAAATTTAAAGTATTTTTCCATGCCTAACCGTATCAGCATGTATGTCTTGAAAGGTGGGCTTCCTTAAACATAGCTTTACATCCGGAGTAACTAACAGTAATCCCTGAGAAAGCGCCACAAATCCAGGCAGTGTGCACCTCATTTCTCTAATGAACTTGTGATTTTATCAGTTATTTCTTAAAATCACGATTCAAATAACAAATAGCTCACTTTTTTTTTTTTTAATTCCTGTTAGATCTCTGTTTACTGGAGGGTATATCTTTCCCTTTATTCTCCCTGGCTGTGTTTCTCTCTCTCTCTCTCTCTCTCTCTCTTTCTCTCTCTCTCTCTCTCTCTCTCTCAGCTGTGTTTTCTCTCTTTCTGTTGAAGACACCAGCTGTTGGCACTGGAGTTTCATCACTGCATCTCACAGCATCACTTAACGCTTTCCATTGTCCTCTGTTTGCCTTAAGCTGACATTTCTGCATGGAAGCTTGATCAGCTTCTACCCAAATTTCAACAGAATGTCCCCAAAGCAGTGTTTTTCTCTCCCAGTCAGGCTGTCACTCAGTGTGTGTTTCAGTGGTAGCTGCAAATCTGTCCATCCTTCAGCTGTTAATCGGGATTCTTCTATCAAGAGGAAGTTGCCCCACTTCTCTCTTTGGCAGCCAGTCCTTAGTTCTGTACCCCACCTGGTCCACCTGACATTTTGCCTCTTGTGCCCCCCAGGTCCTGTGTGAATGGCACCCTTGTGTGCAGTTCTACTCAGCTGTGGCATGGTGACAGAATCCTGTGGGGAAACAACCACTTTTTTAGGTAACGGATTTATTTTCCTCAATAGTCTGATGTATTTTTTTTTTCTGTTACCCTTGTAAGCACATACTAAAGTTGATTTATGGTGAAAAATCCCACAGAATTAACTTACCCAAGAGGAAACGGCGAGATTGGTTGAAAGACCTAGAAAGAGAAGCGAGCCCTCCGGAACACGAGCTGGATGCAGCCAGCGAGGCTTCATCGGAGCCAGACTACAGCTACGAGTTTGCCCAGATGGAAGTCATCATGAAGACCCTGAACAGCAATGGTAGGCCCCCGACTCCACCTGCCAGTGTCCAGGGCCCTTCCTTCACGTCTCCCTAGGCTAGGTGTGACGGGTCCCTGACATCACAGGGCTGGCTGCAGGAAAGTTATGGAGGATGCGGATGATCCTTCTGTGAGACAGCTAGCTCCTGAGCCAGTGGTGACAGCATTTCCAAGGGGACTCTTACAGCTCAGTGATGCTGACAGAATCCCCGGTCAAAGGTTCCTGTCACTCAGCTTAGTCGTTTCTGAATCCTTGAGAGTCAAACTCACCCAAAAAATCCAAACCCAGGAACTTCACATTGAGTCAGAGGAAAAAAGAAAAGTCACAACATCTAGTTATAAATTCAAATGGATATTACACCCCGAACACTTAAAGTAGCCTATTAATTTTTTTACAAAAGTGGTAGTTTCCAGCCTTTCTGGACTTGATATTCTCTTCCAGCCCACGAAGGACTCCAGGATTCTCTTTACTGTGTTTTTTCCTGTATTGCTCTTTCCAGGAGGACCTCAGTATTTATTTTAAGTTCTCTCTGCATTTCAAATTCTGTGTCCTTTTGCCTTTTTTTCCCCTTCCTCTGCACTTGTACACACCTGGATACATTCAATAAGAAACGCATCAGATTTTTTCCTTGCTTGCCCCAAATGCTTTCTGAATGTGCCCCATCCTTATCCTGTCTCCCAGTCTCCTAGTTCCCAGCCTTAGCTGCCCAGTACCTACTAGCTGCCAACGAAAAATCTGGTAACAAGTACAAGGCAGGATTTCTGAGACTACAACCACTTTACAAAGATAACATTGAGGCTGCATGAAGGGGTGGCTTCAGTCCAACTCACTTCCCGCATTCATCTGGTCTTGGGGTCCTAATAAACTCCCCGACTGGAACTAGGGGACCTGAGAACCCCCAGCAGGCAGCCTGCCCCAACAGGACGTTTGGACAGCAGTGCAGTTTATCACATGGGGAATTCTCATACATGCATTAAGACTCCGACACTTAATTGATGTCTGTTTATAGATTTTTCGCCAGAGGGAATTAATTAATTAATTTTAGGGATCTCATTTTTATAATTACAAAGTAATGGGTCTCTAATTGGATTATGAGATACAAGTGCAATGTTTACAAACAATATTGAACCAGAAAAGAAGAAAAAAAGTTTAGGAAGGAAGTATAGTGATTTTTTTTCTCCTTAAACATTAATATCAAAGCATTAAGATGAGCCTCCCGAGGCCCTGCACACCACAGTGCTGGATGGATCATAGCTAGAAAGCAAGCCTGTCCCTCCTGCATGCACAGCCACTGGGAGGAAAGCCCAGAGACATTGCATTATGATGTTCAGACACCGGAAGCATATTCATGGGGTTTAACCACATACCTGGGCAGCACCTCTCCTGTGAGTGATTGCTCGAAGCCCAAGTAAATGCTTGCAGAGTGACACAGGGTGGTGGTGCCCAAATCCAGGAGAAGGAGTGCCCATCTGGAGAGAACCCCCTTCTTTAGATGAAATTAGAGCGTTCTAGCAGGCTCAGTAATCCCAACACTGCAGAATATTCCAATGATACTAAATTAATAATTGATGTATCCCAGATTTCAGATTTTATGAAACTGCATCGTTTCATCCCATGTGTATTAAACACCTGAATAACCAGTAGGTATTTAGCAAGCATTTGTTCACCCCTCCCCTCTTCACAAACCTATTCAAGTTGTTGGAGACCCATGGGGGACACAAACAGGAGTTAATCGTTGGTATCACAGTTCTGCCCTTGCTCTCTAGCTTTGACTGCATCTGTATGAAGGTGTTGGTGGGCAGGCACTTGGCCTAGCTGTTAAGGCTACTGCATCCCACAGCTGAGTCCCCAGGTTCTGTTCCTGACTCCATTTCCTGGTTGTGACTTCCTGCCAGTGCACAGCCCCAGAGGCAGTAAATGTTGAACCTAGTCACTGGGTTCCTGGCACCTTATGGGACACCTGGATGGAGTGCAGGCTCGCTGTTCCAGCACCCCTTTGCCTGTCATAGGGTTTGGAGGAGCAAACCAACAGATGCGAGCCCTTTCCCCCTCCAAAATCATTGTTTTTTAAGCAGCATTCCACCTCCTCCCCACCGTTGTCTATCTCCCCAGGGGCACATAGAGGCATTCTTGGGGGTGTCCAGAGAGCAGCCACCATCCCGCATTCAAGTGGCTCCTCTCTGCTGCTAGGTGGCTTCCCGATCATAAGCCTGTCTGCCTGGTGGTCGTCCCCCTGGTGGTCCTATCTGAAGATTCTCTTCCCCCTCCTGTGGTTGCAGACGAAGCTCCTCCACAAACGCTGGGATCAAGGTTTTCCTGGCTGGCATGGGCATGTGAGAGCTTGGTTGGTTTCTAGCAGCGCTTGTGCTACGTGCTTTGGTGAAATCTGACTAATGTGATTAGAAAGAAGCTGAAGTATTCTCCAGTGAGCAATGTATCTTTCCGGCCATGACCCCCAACCTCGTGTCACAACTTCATTGCCTTCCCAGTGGGGGTTTTGTTTGTGTGTTTGTTCCCTCACCCCCGTGTATCTGCAGCTTGGAAATGCATTATTGGTATCATAGCTACTGTGACAATGGCCTTGTTGTTTCCATGGACCGTCCAGCAGTTCAAGGCAGTATTATCTCCACATATTTATTCACTAAAATGATTTCATTCCACTAATATAATGTTAGTCTTGCATCTCTGGAATGAATAACTGACCCAAAGTCCAATCTGTTTGAAATCCAAGTAAAAGGAAACCTAATGTATAGGGGCAATAATGCCTCCTTCCTTTGTGTTCAAAATAAGAATCGGATGCTCACGTGTTGTTGCAGTCAGTGGAAGCTGGAAAGCCAGGAGCAGTGAGGGAGCTGCCTAGGGGTCATGGGGCCAGTGTATTCCATCAAGCCTAAAAGGGTTTCATTTCCCTAAGGACACACTTTGCTTCAACTCAGCATTTAGACATCTTGCTGTGACTTAATTCTTTTCCTCACATGGATATGTTCTTGCCAGCACCACTGCCACCGCCATCTTCTCTTTCCCATTCTGGGGACAACAGATCATTTGGAGTTCATTTCATACTTTCCTACTTAGGGAAAAAAATAATCTACTGGTGCTGAGAAAGTGCTATGCCCAAAGCGAAGGCTCCTCCCTGTAATGTTTCTCTTGTCTCTTGGCCTTAGGCACTAGGCTCACTGAATTTAAATGAAAAATAGATAACCTTTTAAAAAAATCATTAAAAAAACTTACCCGAGAGAAAGGATGTGATGGGGAAAAAATGAAAATGTAAATAATCTGATAATTGATTGATTGTGAACAAGACAAATGGTCGTTGGCTTCTGTTGTGGCCCACATTATAACATCACTTGCAGGTTAAAATGATCTGTTTTAGAATATTCTGTGTACTGGTAAAGGCTTGAAATTAGTTGATTTAACAAGAGAAAAATTGCCAGTGAAAGTGATGTTTCCAGACTAGGGTTGGGATCAGAGATGAAGTGTAAACCCCTGAGGCTTAGGGAAGAAGCTCCTGGCTGCAGGAAAGTTTCTTCCCAGGGACCAACACAATGACTCGACTATCTAATCCCCTCCCTCCAAGCACTGGCATCTTATATAGGTGCTGGTTCATGTTCCAGATGTTCTGTTTCGCATCCAGCTCCCTGCTTGTGACTTGGGAAAGCAGTGGAGGACGGTCCAAAGCCTTGGGACCCTGCACCCATGTAGGAGACTCTGAGAAGGCTCCTGGCTCTGGCTGTTGTGCCATTTGGGAAGTGAATCAACAGGCAGAAGATCTTTGTCTCTGTCCTTTTCTTCTCTCTGTAAATCTGCCTTTCCAAATAAAAATAAATCTTAAAGACAAATTCTTGAAATTCCCTCCAAAAAGTTCACTCTTTCTCTTATTCTCATCATAAGTTATAGAACTGTTATCAGATGTTCTGTGCTTCCCAGTGCATACAGATGGTTGTTACATTAGTCAGCTTGTTCTTACTTTAACTACCAACCAGGAGCTTCCGAGGAAGGAAGAAGGCTTGTCTCAGCTCCCTGTTTTGGAGGTTCCCAGTCTGTGATGGGACGTGTGCGGAGAGGGAGGTCATTTGGATCAGACACAGAAGGACACGTTCACCCTCTCTGTCCGGGTGCCTCCCTCTGTAAAGCCAGCTGGACTCACAGTGGACTCCACCCCAGCAACCCAACACACATCAATAACTTCCCACAGACTCCAGCCTGAGACGTCACAGTGGCTCACACCTCTTCACCCTTCATCCAGCCACCTTAAAGTGCACCCATGAACCTTTGCCATGAGACTGTGGGGTTGAATTGTCAGCTGGAGTTTGAGTAGTCAAATCCTGTTCAAATCATGATAGTTACTCTGCAACGTCTGCCTTCATATAAGGTTTTTGTTGTTGTTATTTAATTCATTTTTCCATCAGCTTTTAGTTGGTTTTTCCGTTTTTAGTTGAATTTTCTTAATTCAAAACCTGGCTCAGTCGTTCGTGTTTTGTCATGTTTGAGTCATCTTAGGGCAGTTGCTTATCCCTGCTAAACCCCAACATCTGTATCTTTAAAATCAGAATCATATCCACCCTTAGGTTTGTGGCAAAGCTTTTGTGATATGATGCATGCAGATGGCCTACCTACCTAAAGAGTAGCCGTTAGCTGTCAGAGTCATTGTTTCCATTGTGATTGTCGCTTTTATTAATTAAATAACTCACCTATCCTGTTCATAGTTTGTGCATTTAAAAAATGCTTCTCTTTGTTCTATATTATTTAAAATTTTTAAAGCTAACATATTATCTTTTTCTTTTACAGCTCATATAGGAAAATTGACCGATTTATATGCTTATTTCACAAACTGATAATGTATTGTGGAGAAGTCAGTCTCTTGCTCTCATCAGTTAGTGTAAAAAGTTCCTCCTTAGTCGTTTGAATCTTTTGCTTTTTTTTTTTCCCTAGAAATCAAAGCTGATATGTAGCCACAGGTAGCGGGCAAGTGTGCAACTGCAAGGAGGAAAGAACATCCCAGGCTGAGATATTCAGGAAAGAATATTTGAGAGTGTGTCTCCTCTCAGTCCCACCTGCTCAGGATTGGCTGTGATGGTGACATTCTTGTGCCACCACCTAGATCGTCACAGCTTGCCCGTGGCCCGCTTGCTCGGGGGCGTCCGTAACGTTCTCAGTGTGTGTGGCTGTGCCTCACTCTTTCCCCACAGCACCCAGCATTCCTGGGCTATGGCTCTTCCCAGTGTGTCAGCTCGTTAGAGTTAGGTTCCACCTGCACCACAGCCACGGCTGATAATCCCAGTGTCTTCACTGGCTATCTGTATCTATTCACCCACTGCTACAATAAGGTACCCAGAGCCCATATCTGTTGTTTTTGCCAAGTGTGAGATAAACTCAGTCAATATTTTTTTAAAGTTTCCATCTCAGAGAAATTTGAGAGTATAAGTTTTGTGGTGAAAGTCTATCACCAGAACTGATAATAATTAGGCACAGAAACTAAACAACATGAAAGTGAGACTGTACATACTTTTTTATCTGTGGGGTCACCTTAGATTTCATGGAGCTTTTCTTCTCTATGGGTAGGACCACATAAACTTCTCAACCTTCTGTCGGTGGTAGACTGATGATCTATCTAAATATTAGCAGAGCTCATCAAGTTGAGGAAACTAACATGGTGAATGAGAAGAGTATCTGCACACAGGCTTTTTTTTTTTTTAATGTTCATAAGGAGGAAGTTGAGGGGTGTCCTCTGACAAGGCCCCCCGGCCTCTCCTTCCAGCTGCACGGGTACGCTTGCATCTGTGGCAGGTGCTGCTGGCTCTCACTGGGAGAGGCCCCCGACCAGTTTTGCCACACTGAAGATACCTTGCCTTTGTCTTCTTGGCTCACCAGACCCAGTTCAAAATGTGGTTCAGGTCCTGGAGAAGCAATACCTAGAAGAAAAGAGGAGCGCCCTGGAGGAACAGCGGCTCATGTATGAACGGGAGCTACAGCGCCTCCGCCAGCAGCTCTCGCCCGAGAGGCAGCCACAGAGCAGCGGCCCCGACCGCCTGGCCTACAGCAGCCAGACGGCCCAGCAGCAGGTGACGCAGTGGGCAGAGGAGAGGTGAGAACACACATTTGGGGTCCCGGGGACGGGGTCTGGGGGTGCCCGCTGAGCCTGCTGCAGGTGCGGGGCTAGACTTCTCACAGGTGGAAACCACAGTCTCATGTCTGGTTTGTTGGCCGTTGGATTTTTCTTGAGAAGACACTGTCCCTGCTAAGCCCGGTAGCCATGGTTTTAGCTGTTAAACGAATCCAACCACCACCTCCCACCCCTGCTGTACCAACCTTCAGTAGAAATCCTTTGGAAGATTCAGGCTGTTAGGTGTTGAAATATTTCTTTAACACTGGAGTTTTGTTCCTTATTTTTTTTAATTTCTTTGATGTTTAACAAAACATCAGTATAAAGAAATCTATCCAGTATGAATTTTCAACGTTTATGACTTTATATCAGAACACTCAAGGGAGGTGGGGCTGAGAAAACTGTGATAATAGCAATGACAAGCACCAAAGTAAAAGCAGTGACTTCTGCCAACTTCTGTTGTGTTCTTAACACTCCCCAGATCTGTGTGCCATAGGACCTGTCGGGCCATCAGCTCAAGTAGCCTGCCGTGATTACCCACTTAGTGAGTCAGGATGCCACAGTTCAAACTCTGGTCTGTCTGTACTCCCCTTCAACGCCGCCATGTTATAATAACTGAACAGTTAGCATAGCACTTGTAATCCCATACCAGCCACTTGGTGCTTCATCTGCCATCCTCTCCCCTTCACACCATGCTTTGCACACAAGGAAATTGAGGCTGAAAAGTGAGATGCTCACCCAAGGTGAGTGAGCGTGGAGGGGTCACAGCTACGGTGAGCCACTGGTGTGTGTCTCCCACTAGCAGTGAGAGGCTTAACTTGAGCCCCATGACGGATGATCCTTAAATGGAAAAGGGGAGTCCTTCCCTGCACGCAAAGGCACTTGTGTATGCTGTATCCAGAGAGTTGGTTGCCCTTTCCCCTGCGACCGGATGCTGAAGCTGGGAGATGAGCCGTGCTTTTGTGCCCAGCAGAAGCACACCGAAGTTCTCATGTGGTTCTTTTCCTCAAGAGCCACATTTCTCGCATCTCCTGTGAGCTGGTGGCTTGACTCTTGGCATTAGCTATCTCCTGAAAGTAATTGGTGTAATATACCCACTGGCATGCTTTCGAGTTATCAAGGAATGTAAAAGCCAAATGTGAACATATCTGATATTGAGAAGGTGGGTTGCCTTTAATTTGGTGTAATTCCAGTTAAATGTGGCTTTTTAAATATTTTTCACTCTTTAATTCTAGATAATTTTTGGAACTTGAAACTGTTTAAAAAAGTAGAACAAGATATTTGAGAAATGTCATTCAAACAGACAAGTATGGGCACAACATTGATTTAATCAGAGTTTCTGCTGGCTGAAATTAAGACATCTTAATTATACGTGGTTCTGTAAGGAGCCAGAACTCAATGTCGGTAAATGTTGATGAGTTGTGAACTAACAACAGTCTCATATCTATGCAAATCGGGACTGGGAGTCAGGTGTATTTAAGAGCTAGTGGGTGTTATCAAGAAAGCCACAGATGTAGTTTATTCTCTCTGTACAGTGACAATAGAAACAAGGTAGAAATAACATGCGCAACTAAGTCATACTACTAAATTACGGCTTTGTTCAACAACAGGAAGTGTTACGGTAATGTTTATTTGTTGTGTAACTCCTCCCCATGGAAAATAAGTTCCTAAGGCAGGATCCGTTTCACTCACATTCTCCCTCGTGGCTCGGAGCATGTAGGCATAGGTGAGGGACTCGGCCAAGGCGCCTGTATGCACAAAGCGTGTGATTATGTTGATGTGACAAACAAGCATGCCACTGCCAAATAAGCCAAGTGCACCGTAAGCACAGTGGCTGTACAGCATGGGACCCCAGTCTTTCAGTGAAAAAAATGTCAGAAAAGGATGAATTTCAGCTGAGTTTGAAAAGTGTCATTTGACCAGGCAGAGAGGAACTGCAGGGCGCTGTGGATGGGCGCCCGACAGCGGTGAGGAAGTGAAGTTTTGTATGCGAGTGAGGAGAACTGCTGTTTTTAATCTAGGAAGTGGTTTATATGGGAGAAGGGAGTTCAAAACAACTAGATAGTCAGGCCTGCGTAGGGTGTATCCTGTGGAACAGAGCTCCTGCAACAAGGTTTTGAACCAAGGAGTAGCCCAAGGAAGGCAAGAAGGATTCTAAGACCCCGCACGGGAGACAGAGGGACCTGGAGAGTCAGGGGGAGAAGAGACATAAACCAGACATGATGAAAAGGAGGAAGGGAGGGACTTAATGGGCTCGTTCGAAGGAGGACACTACAAGGTTTGCGAGGAGCAGGGGCAGCTGTCAAAAAGGGGAGAATGCAGTCCCAGGAAAGTGGTGACACCATCCAAGAACACCATCCTCTCTGCCCTCACCTGCTCCTGGCATGAGCCTGTGTTATCGCTAAGGTGATGGGTAAGGAGGATGGGTGTGGATGTTGTGAACTCATCGTTTTCCTGGGAAGTCAGGGTGGAGGGTGTGTACTTGGGGGAGTAGAGAAGCTACACCTAAGGCGTAGGGCAGCTGCAGAGCCAGTGTGACACCTACAAGCACCTTTTCTTTCAGGCACTCAGGATTTTCTCAGTATTCAAAGAGGAGTCACGCACTTGGTCAGGAACCAAGTATTCTTGACAAGTAAAACAAGGAAATGAGCCCAAGAGCCCAACCGGACATAGAGACATGAGTCCAATAATGATAAAAAAATATATAAATGCAAAGTGACAACCACAACAAATTCTGTGGAGGTAGAGGACTTGAGTCAGGGAGAACAGAGAGCGGGCTTGGAGCAGATCAGCTGCTGGAGCTTTGTTTCAAATGCTGTCGTGTGGAGCTGGGAAAAAGCACTGCTGGTACTGCAGAGGGCCCTTGCAGTGCGTGACCTCTCCCGGCTGAGGAAGTCACGCCAGACACTTCCTTTCCCTAAATCCAGGTCTCTCTCACCTGCCGATCCCCGCACCCACCCTCCTGCAGCACACAGAGGTCGTGGCCATCACTGCCCTTCCTTGAAGGGCCCCCCATGCTGTTTTAGTGCATCCTCATATCAAATCTTCCTACTTTCCAAATGCTGTGCAGTGTGAGAGCTGGTGTTTAGTTGCTCTCCAGTCGTGATTCTCCGCAGGGAGCCCATCTGTAGGCAAAGGGGAAGGACCAGAGATGACCTGGGAAAGCAGGATGAAAAATCCGGCCTGATGGGGATGTTCTGCCACTGTCTGAGCGGCTGCTCATTTAGCAGCAGGATCACTGGCGATCTCTTAGATGTCCTTGTTCCTTTTCCGCACCACCCCAGGGATGAACTCTTCCGGCAGAGCCTGGCTAAGCTGCGAGAACAGCTGGTTAAAGCTAATACTTTGGTGAGGGAAGCAAACTTCTTAGCTGAGGAAATGAGCAAACTCACTGACTACCAAGTGACTCTTCAGATCCCTGCTGCAAACCTCAGTGCCAACAGGAAGGTAAGAGAGTCCTTGGTGAAAATGAGCCCAAGGGGGCTAGTGTTGTGGCATAGTGGACTAAGTGGACACCTGGGACGCCAGCATCCCATTTCAGAGCACCCATTCAGCGCTCGCTACTCTGCTTGCTAAGGTTCTTAGGCAGGCAACAGAAGATGGCACTAATATTTGGCCTCCAGTGCCCATATGGGAGCACCAAATGGAGTTCCAGGGCCCTGGCATTAGCCTGGCCCAGCCCCAGCCCTGACTGCTGCAGTCACCGGAGGAGAAAAACAAAACCACTGCCAACTCCTCCTTCCTCCTGCTGCCTCCCCTCTCCCCTCTCCCTCCCCTCTCCCCTCCCTCCCCTCTCCCCTCTCCCTCCCCTCTCCTCTCTCCCTCCATTCTCCCCTCTCCCTCCTCTCCCCCCCTCCCTCCATTCTCCCCTCTCCCTCCCCTCTCCCCTCTCCCTCTCCCTCCTTTCTCCTCCTCCCTCCCCTCTCCCTCCCCTCTCCCTCTCCCTCCTTTCTCCTCCTCCCTCCCCTCTCCCCTCTCCCTCCATTCTCCCCTCCCTCCCCTCTCCCCTCTCCCCTCTCCCTCCCCTCCCTCCCCTCTCCCTCCCCTCTCCCCCTCTCCCCCTCTCCCCTCTCCCCTCTCCCCTGTCCCTCCATTCTCCCCTCTCCCTCCCCTCTCCCCTCTCCCTCCCCTCTCCCTCTCCCTCCATTCTCCCCTCCCCTCTCCCTCTCCCTCGCCCTCTTTTTCTCTTCTTCCCTCTCTGCCTCTTTTCCTTCTCTCCCATCCCTTCCCCCCTGCCTTTTAAATACATAAATCTTTTTTTAAGATTTATTTTTTTTAATTTTTATTGGAAAGGCAGATATACAGAGAGGAGAGACAGAGAGGAAGATCTTCCATCCGATGATTCACTCCCCAAGTGAGCGCAACGGGCCGATGCTATGCCAGTCCGAAGCCAGGAGCCTCTTCCAGGTCTCCCACGCGGGTGCAGGTTCCCAAAGCTTTGGGCCGTCCTCGACTGCTTTCCCGGGCCACAAGCAGGGAGCTGGAAGGGAAGCGGGGCTGCTGGGATAGAACCGGTGCCCATATGGGATCCTGGGCGTGCAAGGCGAGGAGGACCTTAACCACTGCGCCATCACGCCGGGCCCTAAATCTTTAAAAAAAAAATGAGAGTAGAAGTGCAGTGGTAGACTTCAGACAAAAAAAAAATCCAGGAAGAGATCACAATATGAAACCAACAGAACTCTCCTTTTAAAATTTTCTTGGGTAATGCTATTTAAACAATGCCCTTGGGCCCGGCGCTGTGGCCTAGAGGCTAAAGTCCTCGCCTTGAACATGCCAGGATCTCATATGGGCACCAGTTCTAATCTCAGCAGCCCCACTTCCCATCCAGCTCCCTCTTGTGGCCTGAGAAAGCAGTCAAGGATGGCCCAAAGCCTTGGGACCCTGCACCCGGGTGTGATGCCTGGAAGAGGCTCCTAGCTCCTGGCTTCGGATCAGTTCAGCTCCAGCCACTGTGGCCACTTGGGGAGTGAACCAGTGGACAAAAGATCCATGTGTCTCTCCTTTTCTGTCTTTCCAATAAAAATTAATAAATCTTTATTTTTTAAAAAAAAGTCCTAGGCAGTTTTCCCACCCAGCCTTGCAGCCGTTTGTCCCGTGGCCAGGTTGCTTCCAGGTCATGTCTGAGAGCTCCGGAAAGCATTGGCCAGGAGACAGCAGGTTGGTGACAGCGGCTCAGTGTGTCGGTCTCTCCCCACTTTGCAGAGAGGTGCGATCGTGAGCGAGCCAGCGATTCAAGTGAGGAGGAAAGGAAAGAGCACCCAGATCTGGACCATCGAAAAGCTGGAGAATAAATTAATCGACATGAGAGACCTGTATCAAGAATGGAAGGAGAGGGTTCCTGAGGTAAAAATAAGTAAATAAATAGAGGCAGCTCGTAAAAGGGTCAGGTTATGCTGAAAGCAGAGAACGTGAGCGCACACACACAGACACACACACACACACGCACGCAGGCGGCTTTGGCCCTCTGCCTTGGGGCAGCAGAGTGCAGGTGGTCTTCAGCGGAGTGGAGGCTGGCGGAGTTGGATGGGTGACATAACATGATCCCACACAGATGGACGCTAAGTGAGAGCATACTGCACCCTGCTACTCGGCTTCATCCTTGCTAGTTCTTAAGCAGAGTGAAGTCAAGGGGCGCCGTCTTGTCAGCGTGGAAAAATCAGTTTGGCTGGCGCCAGCGTGAATTTTGCACTCGTCAGCACGTGCTCCCACAGCCGGATCTCTGATCACGGATAGTGATCGCCCAGAGTGTCTGGGTGTGCCTGACCCGCTTTTCACACGGAGGGAGCAGAACCAAAGACAACAGAGGAGCCGAGGGCAGACGGATCGGGGAGGAGGCACGTGGAGCGACCGGCAGGTGTCACTCAGTCCTCCAACAGGCCCCTCCTCTGTTGGACTTCATTATAACATTGTAACATGATGCTGCATTTCTCGTTTACTTGGATAAATGCTGCTTTTAAAAAATTTTTAATACTAATAATGAATAATATGATTTCAGTTGATTTTTTTTTTCCTACTATCCCGTCCCTACCTCCCAGGCAAAGAGACTGTACGGGAAGCGAGGCGACCCTTTCTATGAAGCCCAGGAGAACCACAACCTAATCGGGGTGGCCAACGTGTTCCTGGAATGCCTCTTCTGTGATGTGAAGCTCCAGTATGCAGTCCCCATCATCAGCCAGCAGGGGGAGGTGAGAGCAGCCCAGCTGCCACATGGTGAAGATGCTCCAGGGTCTGGGACAGTCAGCTTCAGCGAAAGCTGTGTTCTTAAAGTAGATTCAGGCACAGGGGCAGCTGGGTCTGCGTTCTTTTTTCTCTACTAACACATGATGTTAGTAGAAATAACCAGAATCAATTCATGGTCTTAAAAGATTAGCGCAGTGCATTTTAGGTTTGTGCCTCCCAAGTTCCTGTTTTAATCGAATGGAGCACGCTTTGGGAAGCAGGTTTAAGTCTGTCTGCTGTATTCATTTCTCTGTCTCAAGATAATCCCAGCCTTTCTGATACATTTCTTCTTGGCCCCAACTGATAGAACTTGGAAGAATATTTAAGGAACCCATTATGACACACACATATCTTTCAAACTCATTCCCGTTGCTGATGTATACTGACTATACGGGACTAAGATATTTCTGGAAATATCCACGTTCGTATATTCCTTTTTAATCTCATCTATTTTGTCAATTAATGGTTTCAGTTTTAATTCCATTTCCTTCAGTAGCATAAAACTTGAACTTATTTCTGGTGATATTTTTTTAAGATTTTTTACATTTTTTATTGGAAAGGCAGATTTACAGAGAGAAGGAGTGACCTCAAATGCTGGAGCTGAGATGTTATGAAGGCAGGAACCAGGAGTTGTGTCACACACAGGTGTATGAGGCCAGGTGTTTAAGCAGATGACAAGGTCATGAGACATTTAACCAATGAATGCATGAATGAGTATAGACAAATACAGAAAATAGCTGGATCCAGGTGGAAAACAATAGGTGCCTCCAAACTTCTGCTGGGTTTGCAAGGTGGACATCTTAAATAGTGACTCATGGCGGAGACCCAGCTTAACACACAGCAGTTAGTTGGGTAAAGAGACTTTAGCCGATGACATTGGACAAGAAGACAAATAGGGAACCTCAAGGATATGACTGAGGATGGCTCTAGAAGGCCGAGAAGAAGGAGGCAGATGTGGCAGGACAATCACAACAGCTATGAAAGAATGGTGGGTTTCCCATTGCTGGAGGCAGCAAGGCAGAGTGCTGCTCTTCTGGTGCTGCCTCTATATCTTAGGGCTCTGTGTGGGTGGACCACAGGGTGCCTTTTTTTTTTTAAGGTTTATTTATTTTTGTTGCAAAGTCAGATATTCAGAGAGAGAGAAAGAGAAGAGAATCTTCCGTCTGATAATTCACTCCCCAAGCGGTCACAACTGCTGGAGCTGAGCTGATCCGAAGCCAGGCGTCCTAGCCTCTTCCGGGTCTCCCACACGGGTGTAGGTTCCCAAAGCTTTGGGCCGTCCTCAACTGCTTTCCCAGGCCACAGGCAGGGAGCTGGAAGGGAAGCAAGGCCTCCAGGATTAGCAATGGCGTCCATATTTGATCCCAGCAGTGCAAGGCAAGGACGTTAGCTGCTAGGCTGTCTTGCCGGGATCAGGATGCCTTTTTTTTTTTTTAATGCCAAGGTGCTGTGGTTCCTCGCCCTAGGTTGCAGGACGCCTCCACGTGGAAGTGATGCGTGTGACAGGAGCTGTTCCCGAGCGCGTGGCGGAGGATGACTCTTCGGAGAACTCCAGTGAGAGTGGGAGCCTGGAAGTCGTGGACAGCAGTGGGGAGATCACCCATCGGGTCAAGAAACTGACATGCCGGGTGAGCGGTCCCTCCCCACCAGGCACGGATGAGTCATCTTCTAGGGCAAGCCAGTGTTATAGTCTGTGAGAGCTTTGTACCCAATTGAGAAAATATTGAATTTCCTGACAACAGATACAGCGATGGGCAGTCGTATTTTCCACTGATGACAGTTGTTTGACATTTCAAAAGTATTTATTTATTTAACATGCGTGGAATGTGTGTGGCTTAGTGAATGCTGTTTTCCAAGGAAGGTTGCAGCCTGTGTCAGAAGCTCATTTGTTTAGGAAGATTTCATAAGAATGTATGTATTTGTAGCTACTTGCATTAGGAGAACCCCTTAACGAGATGGTGTCAGACATCTTCAGATGTCCAGTAGTTTAATGGCTTATGATTTGTTTATTCACTTATTTTTAAATATGATCTACCTGGTGGTAGAGCAGCAATAAAGGGCTAAATAATAAATATAAATGTGTAAATGAAAAAGTAAAGGAATAAAGTGTAGGCTAAAGTTTCCTTTATGCACGTTACACTTGTCATTTTTACTGATTTATTTCTTTTTCTCTTCAGGTAAAAATTAAAGAGGCAACTGGACTGCCCTTAAGCCTGTCAAACTTTGTCTTCTGTCAGTACACGTTCTGGGACCAGTGTGAATCTACAGTGGCCGCCCCAGTGGTGGACCCAGATGTGCCCTCGCCACAGTCCAAGGATGCCCAGTACACGGTGACCTTCTCTCACTGCAAGGTACAGACTCGGTTCCAGAGTGAGCCACGCGGGCACAGTGTAGCTGGCAGTTTGAATTCAGCCTGCGGAACAGGGGAAAGATGAAATCTGAAGCCCAGTGCTGGCAGGTTAATGACTGCTTTAATAAATCCCACTCTCAAGGCCCTTCAAGCTTTTTCTTCTCTAAAAATGCAGAAATCACACTCACTGATCATTACATCTCCTTTTTCTCAAATTCTAGAGATTGTCTTCACATAAACTACATTAGCATGTAGGTAGTGTAAGATCAAATCAGTGTGGTGCTACTGTTCCCAGATGTTAACATCCCAGAGCTGCCGCCACCCGGGAGTCCCAGGGAGCTCATGGGAGGACTGGCGTGGTTTGGGGTGACGCGCTGCCCTGCCCAGTCACCTCGGTACTCATTCCCTCAGCATCACTGCTTTGCACTTGAGAATGAGCAACCGGAGTGGGAGAGCTCAAGAACAGAGTCATGGAGATAATTATAGAAAATATAGTTCTGTGTTTCGTCCATGCCAGCAGGAAGCCAGATACAAGTGTGTCCCTCAGAATGAACCCAGAACAAGGGAATGTAGACTGAGCCCTACAGCTAGCAGGGAAGACTTCCAACAAGTTGCTTTCTTGGGTTTCCTCATTGCTAGAAAAAAGAAGTTAAATTACATCACAGTTTCCCTCCAGAACTGAATATTCTGCGCGTGTGTGTGTGTTATGAAGGGATAGATGGGTTTAAGATTGAAATCAGCTTAGAATCTTCCAAAGTAAATGTGTGTTCCATTAAAAGTTGTTAAGTCAACTCCACAGCCTCCTTTGTGTATGATTCTTGTGGCGCTTCCCTCCATCCTGCTTATCTCAGGACTACGTGGTGAACGTAACGGAGGAATTCCTGGAGTTCATTTCAGACGGAGCCCTGGCAATTGAAGTGTGGGGCCACCGATGTGCTGGAAACGGCAGCTCCATATGGGAGGTGGATTCTCTTCATGCCAAGACAAGGACATTGCAGGACAGGTTTGTGATGGGCTGTGAGCTTCAGACACGGGGCAGGCGAGCACCTGGTCAGGGCTGAGGAATACAGGCTGGGAACCTGGGTCCTGCCACCTCCTTAGTGAAAGGAGAGTGCCAGAAGGAGGTATTGGTCACCAGGGAAGATGAAGAGGGAAAGAAAAGCTGCTTTAGCAAGAGATGGGGGGGAAAATCAGCTCTGGCCTTTGGTTCACATAGTACCAAAACTTAGAGGTGCATCAGAGCCTTAACGTGAAAGCTAAGGATGTTAGAGAAGAAAGCAGGAGGATCTCGCCAGAGATAGTCCCAGGTTCTCGAGAAACCCCAGAGAGCAGAAAAGAAAACATTTCGGGTTGAGTATAATCAAAATTACAAGTCAGTGTTCATTAAAAGATGTCACCATCACTTTATGAAGGTCTATTCTATTGTAGCAACACGGGGAAAATCTGTCAGGGGTGGGAGTTTGTGGGAGGAATCCCGGTCTATACGAAATTGAACAACAAAATTCAAAATTAAAAAAAGGGAAAAAAATAAAAGCTGGCATCATGAAAATGAATAGGCAGATCATAATCTGGGCGTCAACTGGTAGCTTCTGATCAAGTGGATCCGTTGCCTCTTTGGTGACTCAGCTGACCAATCCTGGGCATTGGTCTGAGAAAATGAAGACCTAAGTCCCTAACAGCTGCATGCTGGTGACCACAGGAAACCCATACTGCAAACAACCTATGAGTTCTCCAGCAGGAGAACAAGTGAACACATGTGTGGGATCGTCCAAATGATAGAATCCTACTTACCCTTGCTCTGCGTTTGCATGTATCTCAGTAACATGCTGAGTGGAAGAAACCAGAATACAGTAGAGTCCAGGCTGCAGAATTCCACTGATGGGCAGTTCTGCCCTTGGCAAAATGCATCTCCTTACAGGGGTGGTGGGAACTGAGTGGGAAGGAGGTGAGCGGCTGTTCTGCGTAATGGTTGGGTTGGGGGGAACGGGTTACATGGGTTTATGTGATTTTCGAAACCCTTCCATCTCTGTTTACGATATGGGAATCTCGTTGATCCCCACAAAGTGAGTCGCACCTCCACAAAATGGCAAGAACTAATAGCATAGGTTGCGGGGTCAGAAGAGAAGGCAGCGATGTCTGCCCGCTCCCCCTCGCATGCAGTAAGCGTGCAGTGAAGGGCTTGTTTCTGCTCCTTGGGCTATTGTGTCGGGTGGAATGTGTCCCTGCAGGTGGAACGAGGTGACCCGCAGGATCGAGATGTGGATCTCCATCTTGGAACTGAACGAGCTGGGCGAGTACACCGCGGTGGAGCTTCATCAAGCCAAAGATGTCAACACGGGAGGCATCTTTCAGCTCAGGCAGGTACTGAGTCTGCTTTGAATGTGTTCTTTCATATTTTCTCCTCAAGCCTCTGTTACACACCGTTCCCGGGAGATCTCTGATTTATGTTTGCCTTCATTTCCGGATCCTTTCCCCTTCCTTTGTCCCGGGCACCCACCCTGCCTCTGCCCCTACCTCTGCAGGGTCATTCCCGTCGAGTGCAAGTCACCGTGAAGCCTGTGCAGCACTCGGGGACACTGCCTCTCATGGTGGAAGCCATCCTGTCGGTGTCCATTGGCTGCGTGACTGCCAGGTCCACCAAGCTCCAGAGAGGGCTGGACAGCTACCAGGTAAGACACCAAGGCATGAAGCAGTGGTTAGTGAATTCGGTTACTGTGGCAGAGAGGCAGTTAAGGATCCTGATGGGAACCTGTTTGGGTATACAACAGAACTCCTTGCTTAAAGTGTGTGTGCCTCTTGATTTCCACTTCATCCATTGTCCTTTACCTAGACTTAATAATGCCATTTGTTTACGGTTGACTAGTACTACTCTTACGGAGAAGCACACATAAAGGCCACAGCAGTCACGCACTTTAGGCAGGTTCATACTTAGTCCAAAATACGCTGCAGGTTTAGTGTTGTTCTCCACCTGGATTCCCTTTGATTGGCATCCTAAAATTGCTTCCCTACACTGTTAATCAGCTCTTTCAAAGCTTTCCTGCTTTTGGAAAGACAGCGTTAACAAAGAGCATGAGAGACAGAAAGAACATCTTCCAGAGCTGGACTGACCCAAAGACATGAGCTTCTTCTGAGTCTCCCTTGTGGAAACAGGGTCCACTGCTTTCCCAGGTCATAAGCAGAGAGCTGAATCATAAGTGGAGAAACTGGGATTCCAGCCCATGTCTATAAGGGATGCTGGTACTGTAGGTGGGGGCTTAGTGAGCTGTGCCACCACACTGGTCCCTGCACTGCACTGCATTGTTTAAAAGCTAAAGCAATCCTCATGTACATTTTTGTCCATTAACAATACATTGCCTATATTTGCATTCTCATTCTTACGAATAAGTTGAAAGCCCTCAGAACTTACCTTCATATTCAATCAGAGCATTTCACAACTTGTTGTCCCCCAGCAGCCTTAAATACCTTCAGTACTTCAGCACAGCCTCAGGCTCCCTCCTGATGTGAATGTGGCATGGGGGCAAGTGAGTGTATTCAGCCTGGCCCCCCTGAGCCGTGTACCATCATGCCAGGCATGACTTCTAGTTTCCCTTTGATTCCATGGCATTCGAGCAAAAAATGTTCTAGAAGCTAGAGAACAACACGCCGACCACAAGTACTGGGCCTTAAGGTAGGCAGGGCCTTGTCAGACACTGTTTTCCTTCTATTCTCAGCTCTGCACTCCAGAGCATGCCCGGACAGGGTCTGCACCTCCCGAGGCAGCTTTTCCACCAGACCACTCCCCATGTGTGCAACGGGGGGCTGTGGAATGGGTTATAGGCGTTCTTGTTCCAGTTCCAGCGTGGCCACAGAGCTGGGTGGAAAGACAGCGCTGGTCTAAGAGTCGGGAGACCTGGTGTTTGGTCCAGGTCAGCTTCATTAAATGGCTACACTGACTGGGAAATATAGTCTTTGAGACATATTTTTTTCTTTCCTACCAAATGATGAAGTTGATTCAATAATTCTCCAAGATCCCTCTCTACAATAGAATTTTATAGCTTAATAAACCTCTGATGTTAGATAAACATTGTATTTGTGTTTTCCAAGCCATGGTCTATAGAAAATGGACCCTCAGCTCACTAATTGTTCTCGTCTGAGAAACATGCTAAAGATTAATTATGTACATTTTCCTTAAAAAAAAAAAACTCTACTTCTTGAGTTAAAACCAGTTTTTGTCAAAATGTGAACTTTACCAGCCTTTCCTCAGAGCTGTGCTCCTTTGGGCTTTTAGTACCAGGTGTACGATTCAAGCAATAGCTTTCTTAAGGACTTTCCTTCCTTGGCTGCCATGCTCAAGGTCATGCCCACTATTTATTTTGAGTGCTTTATTGAGGTAATGAACATATCATGGAAGCAGTACATAATGTGTAATGTCTCAATTATCTCTAGTGATACACCAAGACCAAGCTGATGAATGTTAACAAGCATGTTTATTTTTTATTGATGTAACCTGCTTTATTTTGTTGCTCATGTGATACTTTGGAATGATTCTTACACAACCGCTGAAACCGGTACAACAGATGCCAGTTTCACAGCAGTTTGATGCCTTGGAAGCCCAGGCCAGTTTTCAGCTAGTAGACACACCCCCCTAGTCTAAAAATTAACGCGAAGTCAAAGCTGTTTGTTTTCTTACATTAGTAGAGAGTCTTATTTCAAGCTACGTTATTTCAGGATTCAGCCACTATTGAATAAGTTCATCATGTAAGTACGGTGGCGGTTACCAAACTTAAAAATTGTGGTGTATTTTGAAGTGTAGATACAGTAATAACTTTATGTGTTTACTTTATTGGTTTGAATGGCAGAGAGGTGGAGAGAGTGAGCCTGGGAGAGAGAATGAATGCTGCCTGGTGCTGGTTCACTCCCCACATGCCAGCTCAAGCTGCCAGGACTGGGTCAGGGACAGCCAGGAGCTGAATCAGTCCGAGTCTGTCACGTGACCTGAGTGGCAAGAACCTAATCACTTGAGCCATCACCGTGGCCTCGGAGGGCATTGCTGGGAAGCTGGGGTCAGGAGCGAGAGCCGGAACTTGAACCATGGCGCGCCCGTGTGAAACACAGGTGTCTTAACTTCTAGGCTAAATGCCCATTCCTTGAATATATTTTAAAGCACTTTTTGCTTAAGTATGTATATGTATGAATATCTTTGCTGTGTCTAAGATTTAGTGATAAATGCAATTCGCAGGTTTCTCTTTAGATTCTGTTTTAAGGAAGACTGTCTCGGTCAGAACCCTTTGTTTTGTCAACTGTTGTTGGTTTTTGTTTTTTAAAACTTACTTAAAATGTTACTATGTGTTTGGGGTAGTGGAGATTTTTCTCAGCTGGTAGATCCAGTAAGTAGAGGCTACTGATCATGTGATGGCATGTAAAAGCACGACCGGTGCTTTTACTGCGGTTTTGTGGTACGAACCTTTACGCTGGTAGTTGTGGGTCCCCCAGGCCTGCAGGAATGTACTACAGGGCAGGACCTGCTGAGGTCAGAAGCCAAGGGGCCAGTCCTGACCTGCCACTAGCAGTGTGATCTTTGGGTTAAATCCTTTCAGCCTTTGACTAAAACAAAGGTTGGGCAAGATAATCTCTGAAATCCATTGTAGTTTTGCCACTTGTTTTTAAATGACTTCCTTCTTGTGTTTAAAAAACAAATTACACATAAGTGGTTTCCATTCATTAAACCCTCTTGAGAGCCAATTAAATGTGTGATTTTGCTGACGTGGTGTGAGCTGTTCATTGTAATGCGTATGTAAAGCTTAAGGAATTTTTCTTGTGTTATTTGAGAAACAAAATGCATGTCCTTTGTGTTTATTTTTTTCCTCCCAGAGAGATGATGAGGATGGTGATGATATGGATAGTTATCAGGTATTGCTGCCGCTGTGGATCCTGTGGCATGGGGCACAGCTACCGCTAATCGCCAGCTTTCGCACAGCGGAGGCCTGGGTGCAGGAAGGAGGAGCCTAGAGCAAGAACATGCAGTGTCCATGCACTTGCTTTCAGTGTCATCCCAAGTGCAACACTACCTCCCTAGATTTCCCTGCACTTCAGACTTGATCATGAGATACTGCCCTTTTGCCAAGCCATCTTGAATTGCCAGCTTGTAAAGCTTTGCTCCGCGAGACCAGTACCTCTGCATTAAAATGGGTGATCTTAAAAATGGCACAGTTACTCATCCACAAGCTATGGGTATTGTTTTGCCTTTCCTATGCTAAACTTAACTTCGCTCCTGATGTCCAAGGGGCTGTGCACACAGCTTTGTTTTCTTAGCCAGTTGTCCTCTCTCATTTAGAGTCAACTGTAGTTCTTTGTCATCTGCGGGATTTAAATCTCAGATTTCTTGCTAGAAATCCAGGGGGGAGAATTGCAAGGCTACTTGAAGAAGTTCCTGGGGAAAATGAAGTTAAAAAAATGAATTATTTTTATACAGGGAAATTGAAATCCATGCATAGTTTTTTTTAAATATTATTTGTTTTATGAGCTTTTTGCAGACTCCGCCTTATATGCATGGTTTTCAAAAAATTTTACGTGAAAAATGAATTTATCTTTTAATTCTGCTTTTCAGGAGCTTTCTAAAATGCCTCCTACATGCAAATGTAAAATTTTCCCTAGTCATTAATGACTGGCCTGGTGTCACAAGACTTGCATTGATAGAACTGTGGTCAGAGCAGCAAGTTGAGCTTAAGTCTTCTGAGTTTGAGTCTTAGGCTTGGTACTGATCATTCCCACAAGTTTAGAAGGACATTTGCCCAGTGTGCCTCCTACATGTAACATGTGGGTACGTTGTAGGGAAGTCCCAGAGGTCCTCAGGTGTCTACTCTTAACATAATGTCAGAAGGGTTAGACTAGGACATTCAGAGAGCATTTTGAGTAAAATTGATCAGTTTTTCTTTCCCTATTCATAATTTTAATTAAAAAAAAAAACACAGAAAGAAAAACAGAACCGGTGATAAACATTAGTGGAACGATGTACTGACCCCTGCCCGGGATCTCAGCAGTGCCGTTGACTAACACTCTGGGGCTGTGCGTGCCTCCCTCCATCTGGTGCAGAGTGAAGCCAGTGCCTGCTTCTGGGACTTGTTAAGCATGGCTGATTGCATGTCGGGTTTTGCATGGGAGACGTGGGATTAGCCCCATGGTCGTGGCTGGGTGTAAAATCCTTGCAGCAGGTCTGAAGGGTTCTCTGCTGGTGTGTTCTTTGTGCCTCAGAAGATACACGTTGTCAGGCCATTGAACAATGGACTATCAAAGTACCTGTTGTTTCACATCTCATGTGCTGTTATGTGATTTAATCTTTGTTCGTGGTGTCCTGCTTGGAATCACAAACCTTTCATTGGATAGCTGTGATTTAGATACACACACACACACGCACACACACATACACACATATGTACATAAAAGCACCCAACATAAAATGCACCCAACAGCTGGCATACTTTGAGCTTGTCTTGCTTTTACAGATAATTATCTCTTTGTAGATCTGGGGCTCTGATTGCTGGGTTCCAACATCCTCGATCAGCATGCGGTATTGCTGAGGCCTCTTTGCTTACCTGCGTATTAATCACACAGCAATATTCAATGGCCCTTCTAATGAAAAGTTCCCTGATCAGATTAAATATCTCTAAGTGAAAAGAAGGCTCCGCAAAGGTACTCTATAGAAAATACTCTCCCTCTCCACTCTCAGGAAGAAGACTTAAACTGCGTGAGAGAGCGCTGGTCAGATGCACTCATTAAACGACGCGAATACTTGGATGAGCAGATCAAAAAAGTCAGCAATAAAAAAGGTATGTGAGGTGAGACTCCTGCCTGGGAGTGGCCGTCTCCCGTTATCATCATGGTGGTGAGTTTTCCGCTGAAGTGGACAGTCGTATCTTAGTTGCTTTCAAACTTGTGACAGTTGTAGCCGCTCACATTGTGTGGTAGATTGTTGATTTAAGAAGGTCTGCATTTAAAAATAACACTTTCCAGAGTTGCATGTATGTTTCGTGTGGTCTTTGTGAGGTCCCATCATGGTGTGCTGTGGACAGACCCAAAAGGTGCAGTGATGGGGCAGCCCATTAAAGCCATCTCGGATGGGAGTTTCCATTCAGGCGAGGCTTGGTGAGCAAGTGAACAAGCAGATAGAGGGCGGTACCATTGGTTTTGATGAATACACATACCTTGTATTAAATGACCAAAAATGATCTATTCTAAAACAAAGTCAAGAAAACAAGTGGATTGATCATACTAAAAGGAAGTGATATTACTTTGCCACAAAGTATGCCCAACTAGAAATTAGCCATGAAAGGAAAAATTGAAATGGTAATGCAAATTTTTGGTTATTTGGTTTTTTTGTGTGTGTGTCCTTTTATTGGGAGTAAAGTTGTGAAATACTTGTTCATATTGTTTTGATTATCCTTATTACAAGGAGACAATAAATATTGTGGTTTTTTTATTTAAAATCATAATACATTTTCATTAATCTTCAAATTATGCCATAAAACTATGATATTAAATGCCAATTTTGAATTTTGTTCAGGTTTATGGTTTTATTTATTTGAAAAGCAGTTATAGAAAGAAGAGGAATACAGAGAATCTTCCATCTGCTGGCTCACTCTTCAAATGGCCAGACCAACCAGGTTGGGCCAGGCCAAAAGCCAGGAGCATGGAGTTTCTTCTGGGTCTCCCACATGCATTCAGGGGCCCAAGGATTGAAGCCATCTTCTGCTGATTCCCAGGCTTGTTAGCAGGGACCCAGATGAGAAGTGAAGCAACTGAGATTTGAACCAGTGTCCATACAGGATATCAACATCTCAGGCAGAGGCCTAACGTGCTATGCCACGATGCTGGCACCCAAAATTAAATCTTATTTTAATGACCACAAATATGATTCATTTTGATAACCAGGAGGAGATACTGCAGACTATAAAATGCAGGACTTGAGAGCAGTGAAAGGGTCCTATCTAGTTGGCACTCGCAGCTCCGCTGGCTGTGACCCAGCTGCATGGGTGCAGTTTGCTCATGTTGGCAGCGGTCCCTGAGACTCTAGAGTAGAGTCGTACTCTGAAGCTCCTCCTTCGCTCGTCCTGCCGTCATGGTCTTGTTTATTTGTTTGTTTATTATAATCAAATACTTGTTGCACTTGATTGATTCTGGACCGAAGAACACATCATGGTTGTTACAGTCCCTTACACTTGGAAGGATTAAAGCGTCTTCCCTCCAGGAAGCGTCTAGGCCTGACCTATTATGGCTTCCTTCAGTTTGAGTTTGTGTTCAGCCTGCTGATAAATACTCATTCTAATTGTGCCAAGGGAGCCCCAGAAATGAAGGACAGAGGGAAAGATTTCCAAATATCTTACACTAAATTCCTTTCCTGATGAGCATCAAGGATGATGAAGTTGGTGTTACAGAGTGGAATAGATGGTGTTATTTTTAATCCTCCATCTTTATAAAGTGGTGTACACCTTTATAAAGCAATGCCACATCCATTGTTTCATCCGATCCTTCCAACAAGCATGGAAAGTAGCCATGGCTTGTATTACCTCTGGGTGGCATGTTAAGAAACTCTCACATCTTAAGTGACTTCCCTGAGTTATAGGACCAGTAATGTAACTTTAGACTTCCAAATGCTGTTTCAGTTTTCTTCCTGCTGATCCTAGCCTGGGTAGTACCTTGGGCTACTCAATGTCCAACTCATGTGGATGTTTATATATGTACTTCAGACCCTAAGAAAATTTGCTTGCAACATAGTAGAAGTCTAAACAGCTTTGGATATTACTGAATGAAAATGTCTTTCATGTAAATTTATTCTGCAATCAAAAGAAAAAAAAGTGAAGTGGAAATTTGTGGTTTCTCTCTCATTGGCATTCCCCTTTCTCATTCTGTTCCTCAGAGAAAACGGAGGACGACATGGAGCGGGAAGCCCGGCTCGTGGAGCAGTGGGTAGGGCTGACAGAGGAAAGGAATGCGGTGCTGGTGCCAGCCCCGGGCAGTGGGATCCCCGGAGCACCTGCTGACTGGTGAGGCTGCCCTTTCTGCCTGTGACAAGAGCCGTACTGGGCACAATAAAGGCTCACTGTGCTGCTCAATGGAAGGCCACCCATTCCTAGGCATTCCCTTCCATTATTCCTCCCCATTGTGGCCAGCTGCCCCCTGCCCCATCCAGGGAGCCAGAGGGCATTGATTTGCTGGCTAGCAACCCAATACTCCACTCCTCTAGTCTCTGAATAAGCAGCCTGGTCTCCAGGAACGCTTTTGGCTCAAAAGAAGGTTGTTCCCAGAGTATAGTTGGAGGGAACTGGTACCTGCTTCGTTTAGAAACTAACACAGAGTGGGCAGTTAAGTACTACATAATCGATCAACCAGTTGATCAGTCCAGTCGGTTCCAGTTCATGGGAAATGACCTGTTGTCCTTAACTTTGGAGTGAAATAGATCTGAGTTTAGCCTATAGCTTCAGCTCTTATTCGCCTAACTTCTCTAAGACTTATTCCCAATCTGTTCATGGAGCTGCCCTTATGGTAGTGTTGTAGGAATAAGGATAATAGATGTAAAATACCTACTACATTATAATGTAACCTTTTGTCCCCATTCATCACAAAGTGCCTGCTGCTTTTATTCTCGTTGTCTTTTTTTTTTTTTAAGGTAAAGTTACAGAAAGAGGAGGAAAGATAGAAAGAGAGATCATGCCTCTGCTGGTTCACCCCCCAAGTGACCAAAGCAGTCACAAACGGGGCAGGACCAAGCCAAAGCCAGAAGCCAGGATCTTCATCTAGGTCTCCCACACTGGTACAGGGGTGCAAGTACTTAGGCCATCTTCTGCTGCTTTCCTGGGCAGATTAGCAGGGAGCTGAATGGAATGTTGAGCACCCATGGTGTCACAGACTGCAGTATAACCCATTAAACCACAGTGCCAGGCTGGCCCTTTATTGTTATTCCTATTACAACAGTGTGTCCTTGCCATAGAAGAGAAGCCAGATAGCCTTCAAACACACAGTGCTCAGGCCCAGAAGCGTCTTTTGAACCAGGCAAGAAAGCAGTAATAATGCCAATGATTTTACCAGGGACAAGTGGAAATGCAATCAGTCTTGTCATCTGTTGTGCTAGAATCCCGTGGGTCACATGCAGGATGTCTGCCAGCCTCTTCTTATGGACCCCCAGCTTATTCCCTCTCCTATCTGTTTCCTCGGAGTTCTCTCTAAAGAGTTCTCTCCTCGCCATGGTCTCTCACTTAAGGTGCCTGCAACATCAGATCATCCTGAGTGTTTGTGGTCCTGGGTCACCCTTCCCACTTAGTCTGACTTGGAGGATGGAGAGGCCTGGGAACCTTCATTGTAGCTGGTGATGCTGAGGCAGCTGGACTGGGTTTTGACTAGACACTGGCTGGTCTCCTGCATGTGTTCCACCTCCTCTCATGCAGTATTTTCCGTCCTCTGAGCTTTTAAAATATCACCCACCTGATTTACTTCCCTCTAGGTTTTGCCGCCACCCTACCAGGATCCCCTTCCCATGACCAACTCATAGAATCATTTTTAGAAAAACTTGAAAGCTTTCAGTTAGTTATGTAATTAGTAGTCCTTTTTAGATTTTTCTGAACGCCATTACAAAGGTCAAGAGAAGTAAAGGCACTGGTAGTTGATCAGTAGAACCAGTATCTCCAGTGGTTTTCTCTCTCTCCTGCATTCATGGGTGAGGGAATATTGTCTAAATAGTAAGACACAAGTTTTGTTATAATTATATTTTATTGTTGCATTTAGGATCCCACCTCCTGGAATGGAAACCCACATACCAGTTCTCTTCCTGGATTTGAATGGTAAGTGACACACCTCAAGTTCCAAGGGCCATATGCTGCTGCCTGTGTTGCTGGCATCCCATATTAGGGCAGGGGTTCATATCCCAGCGGTTCTGCTTCCAGTCTAGCTTCCTGCTAATGCACCTGAATAAGCAACAGTACATGGCCCTGATACTTAGGTCCCTACCACCCACGTAGGAAACCCAGATGGAGTGTTGGGCTCCTGGCTTCCACCGGCCCAGACCTAACTTCTGCAGCCTTTTGGGAAGTGGTCACTCTCTTTCTCTTTCCCTTTTCTCTTGTTGTCATTTTGCCTTTCATGTAAATAAGGATAAATAAATAATGAAATGTTTGCAGAAAAAGTTTTAAGGCCACTCACAATAAGACTTGTAAGCTATTCAACCTCATTCTATTTTCATCCTTGAATCACTTCTCATCATTTATTTGCTTTCTTTTGATAATTTTTGTCTAATCAAATACATATAAGCATGACATGTAAACTCACTGGAAATGAGATGTATACACTTCAACAAAAGAAAGAGAGCAATTAATCTGAAACATCAATTTTAAAAACCAGCTAGGCAAGTAATCACTCCCCAGAGATTCTCTTTCAGCTCAGCTAAGGCCAGGAAGCTACATTTCTGATGGCAACTGCAGTTAAATCCCCACCCCCCAGTTCTCAAGCCAAAACATGATTGGACTGCAACCCAGCACGAAGAGTTGTCTTTTAGTGTAACAGTGGAAGCAAACTTGGGTCAACTAGAACAATGATGATTTTCAATGTGTTTTAGAAGTAAAATCCTTGTCCAAGTGAAATCTTATGTGAAACCATCTTGGAGAAATGGAAAGTAGAGTTGCTGAGTTTGAGAGTGAGCTGACAGGCATCCTGGAAGACATGTCTACCAGTCCCTGAAGCTCCTGAAAACATACCCCGAAGTTCCCTGTTGTAGAAGCAAGACCAGTAATGGAGATGGAAGGCACAGGGACACTGGCTTGGGCTGTCCACACAAGGTTGTTCTGAAAGACTGTAGAGCTAGAATGTGGGCCTCCTAGGGAGACAGGTTCCCTGTTGGTGCTGGTGTGTAAGCAAGGGCTGATGGCCACATGTGGAGGTCGACAAAGAGTAAATCTCACATTGGCTAGGGCATTGAAAGGTGGTATTCCTAACCTTCTTAAAAGATTTTTATGTATTTGTTTGAAAGAGTTAACAGAGAGAGCGGGAAGGACAGAGAAAGAGATCTTCCATCTGTTGCTTCATTCCCTAAGTGGCTACAGTGGCTGGAGCTGGGCCAGGCTGAAGCCAGGAGACAGGAACAAGGAGCTTCATCCATGTCTCCCATGTCATGGCAGAACCCAAGTACTTGGACCATCATCCACTGCTTGTCATTAACAGGAAGCTTGATTAGAAGTGGAACAAGGGTCTTCTTCTCTCATAGCCCCACTCCTGACTGCTGTAATAGGTTTCTTTTTTTTTTTTAAAAGATTTATTTTTATTATTTTTTTATTGGAAAGGCGGATATACAGAGAGGAAGATCTTCCGTCCGATGATTCACTCCCCAAGTGAGCGCAACGGCCAGTGCTATGCCGATCCTAAGCCAGGAGCCTCTTCCAGGTCTCCCACACGGGTGCAGGGTCCCAAAGCTTTGGGCCGTCCTCGACTGCTTTCCCAGGCCACAGGCAGGGAGCTGGAAGGGAAGCGGGGCTGCCGGGATTAGAACCGGCGCCCATATGGGATCCCGGGCGTGCAAGGTGAGGACCTTTAACCACTTGCGCCACCGCGCCGGGCCCGTGTAATAGGTTTCTGACTTCAACAAATCTTGCTTTGCTTGAAAAGAAAAAGAAAGAAATTGCAGGCATGAAACTGATAGTCAACAACACTTTAAGGCAAAGTTGGAGGAATTTTGAAAAAGTGGAACAGCCGGGACCTGAACAAACACCCGTATGGGATGCCAGTGACACTAGCAGCAGCTTTACCCACTACACAGCGCTGGCTTTACCCACCACACAAGGCCATATTTCTTCCAAAAGCAAAGAGCTCTGCTTCTTAGTTGATAATTTAATTGACTAAAAATCTTTAAACTAGGGGTGGCTAAATCCTTCCATTGCACACGCCGGGATCCCATATGCACACCAATTTGTATCCCAGCTGTTCCACTTCCCTTCCAGACCCCTGTTTATGGCCTGGGAAAGCAATAGAGGATGGCCCAAGGCCTTGGGATTCTACAACCATATGGAAGACCCAGAAGAAACTCCTAGCTCAGTTCTGGCTGTTGTGACCACTTCGGGCAGTGAAGTAGCAGACGGAAGATCTTTTTCTCTGTATCTCCTTTCTGCATATCTTCCTTTCCAATGAAAAAATAATAAGTCTTTATAAACTCTCTGTACTAGTATAGACTGTATAAGTAGGAAAAGAAGTATAACCAATTATAGGAGGCAGAAAAGCTCTTAAGTGTGTTCAGGGAGACTATTTAGCCCCAGCAGTGTGGCGATTGTAGTGTGGTAGATTCAGCCACCTAAGCTTGGGAAATGCACATCCTGTATTGGAGTGCTGTATTGAGTCCCTGCTGCTCCACACTGCTGATCCGGCTCCCTCCTGATGAGTGTGGGAGGCAGCAGAAGATGGCTCAGGTACTTGGGTCCCTGTCACTACCCCGAAGACCCTGCTGGAGTTCCTGGCTCTTGTGCTGGTCCCAGCTGCCGTGCGTACTTAGGAACCGAACAAGCAGATGGAAGATTGCCTATTCCTTCTCTCCTTCTCTGGTTCACTTGGCCTTTCAGTGAATCAACCTTTCAAACAAAACAAAAATCTCTTCACTGTATCTCATAGGAGCTTCCCATAACTGTATTTGTAGAGGGAATAAACTGTTGCAGGTCTTGGAGGCCCTGTTTCAGTTGCAGGATAAGGGAGAGAACCTTAAAAGATGTTCTAGAACTTCATTATCTATCAAAAGCATATTTTTGAACTTGGCGTGTTTGCTTAAAAAGTGACTTTGCTCCTCACCTCTTTTCCTGTGCCCTGGGCTTGGCCAGCGCATGACCTCAGTACCAACGAGCAACTCGTGGGCCCCCACGCGTCCGGTGTGAACTCCATCCTGCCCAAGGAACACGGCAGCCAGTTCTTCTACCTGCCCATCATCAAGCACAGTGATGACGAGGTACTTGACCCCGCCTTCCCCCAGCTCCCTCCAGGGCCTTTGGAGCCTCTCACACACCCAGGAGTTGTCTTCCCCCGGAAACGGCTGAGGTCCAAGAGGATGAGGTTTTTAGGCAAAATCGAACAATTACATTATTTTTGAAAAGGGGGCAGGGGAGAAAAGTGGTTTGATTACACTGAGTTGAACTTATTTCTTTTCTCAGGGATGTCACGTAAAAGTGCATCACCCGTGTTGTGTCTTATTCTCCTCCTGTGTCCCCACCACTAGGTGTCAGCCACCGCCTCCTGGGATTCCTCTGTGCACGATTCCGTTCACTTGAACAGGGTCACGCCGCAGAATGAGAGGATTTACCTGATCGTGAAGGTCACAGTGCAGCTCAGCCACCCGGCCGCTATAGAGTTGGTGCTGCGGAAGCGAATCGCAGCCAATATTTACAACAAGCAGGTAGGAGTGGGTCCTGCCCCTTCTCCAGGCCTGAGCACTTGTGACTCTCCCTCTCTATGACCCAGGGTCTGGGCTGCTCAAGGCAGAGGGCGTGCAGAAGGTGAGCACACTGGCAGAGTTAGAGCCTGGTGTGCATTTATCTAAGAAAATCAGCAAGAATACCAAAAGGTTCATGTCACCCCCGAGGGACCTTCCTTTCCACTCTGACTTGAGGCCCGCAGTCATAGCAGACAGTGGAACTGTCTGCCACACCAACATTCTTCTCGGTGTGAAAGTGCAAGCACTGAGCCTCGGAAATCAAACACCGGGTGCAGGCAGGTTAGGGACAAAACATAGACAAAACAGGGAAGCCCCCAGAGCCCCCAGTACCACCAGATCTCATCCCGGAGGTGCAGACAGTGGAGCTGAGCTTCTTCAAGGTGCTTCCCCTGAAGGGAAGCCAGCAGGAGGGAGAGGAACGACCACAAAGCCCCCAGTCTATTGCACATCCAAAGCCCATCCCTGAGCAACGGGTGAAAGTGCTCATCTCTCAGGGCGCAGGCGGGACTCAGGTTCTGGTGGGGTTTTTTGTTGTTATTGTTTTTCTAAGTATAGTGAATGAGTGTATGCATGCATGCACATAAAAAATATAATAGTTGCCTATACTTTTGTGATCTGTAGAACAATAAACAACTTGCTTTTGTCACGTGGTTTAATCCAGCCTTCCTTTTCTACCAAGAGTTTTACCCAGAGTTTGAAGAGGAGAATATCGCTGAAGAACATATTTTATTCCTGTGGTGTCACCTATGAAATAGTGTCCAATATACCAAAGGTAAAATTTGTGCAACCCACTCTGGGCTCATAGTGGAGCTGCTCCTCACGCTCGGGATGAAAACACAGGCCCTTTTCCCTTTTCTTCCTGTCCCCAAAGGCGACCGAGGAGATCGAGGACCGAGAAACGCTGGCTCTGCTGGCAGCAAGGAGTGAAAGCGAAGGCACCTGGGACGGCGAGACGTACATCGAGAAGTACACGCGGGGCGTGCTGCAGGTGGAGAACATCCTGAGCCTGGAACGGCTACGGCAGGCAAGTGAGCGAGCATCCGGAGCGAGGGTACCACTGCCCGCCTTCATCCAACCGTCTCCCCCCCAGTGCACATGGAGGAATGTGTTTTCCTAGATGCCTTTGCCATACCCTGTCAGAGCAGGAGCAGGTGTGGTCGTCAGCTCAGGGGCAGCATTATGACTAGTCAGGACGAAACATTAGAAGAATAGCTAATGTGTCTCAAACAATTCCTACTAGCCAAGCGCTATGCCCGCTGTGCCCAAGCAGCTCAGGGACGGTGTTGGATGCATGTGCAGAGCAGCCCTCTGCTGTAGTCCCTGCTTCCAGAGGGTTCTCAGAGAGGTTTGTTAACCAGCCACAGCTTACCCAGACAGGAAGTGGTGCAGAGTCTGACGTAAACCCACGTAGCTTACTTGATCCCAAAGCTGATAAGTGTAACCAAGCAGTGTTACAGTCTGCTTAATTTGTAGGTGCAGCTTGCTTTTTTTTTTTTTTTTTTTTACGTATGGAACAGTAGCCTACTAGACAGGGGGACTGTGAGGCGGGGGTGTCCTTACACAGGAGCAGTGGTTGTCACTGTGAGAAATGCTTGAGCAACAGGAAGAAAAAGATTGGCACCGGTCAGAGGGGGAAAATTGTTCCCTTGGTGGAAATCCCACCCAAATTGACGGAAGGATAAGATATGAAGAGCAGAAAACTATTGGTGTTTTTTCAAGTTTGTAGAACTGGAATTAAAAGGTAAGATGATTTGGTGCAAAGGAAAATAATTGACATCCACGTAAAGTTAGTGGAGAATGTGCATTGTGAAAAGAACTGCGCATGGGTTTCAAGATGCTTTACAACAAAATAAACTGAACATTTTGATTCCATTATTTCATGAACTTTGTGAAGTACTCTGTCGCTTCATTTTTTCTGTTCATGTGTATGAAAAACTCAGAGCAATAATCAGCTTTCTTTTGGCAATTTTCCTGGTTTGATTTGTGAAAAAAAAAATTCGATAATTGCTAATACAAAATAGTGAGATTCCAGCTTTGTGTGGGCAGAAGATGGATAATTAAACAAATCTCTTTCTATACTTTTTCTAAGTCTTCAAATAAACATGTGTTAGTCTTACAACCAGTTGGAACAGCAATAAATGTTATTTTCTGATCATCATGCGGTCACAGGCTGTCACAGTCAAGGAAGCGCTTTCTACCAAGGCTCGGCACATACGGAGGAGTCTCAGCACGCCGAATGTCCATAACGTAAGCACGCCCTGCACAGTGTGGCACAGGATGTGTGGGTTGGGGATGCAGGGGACAGGAAGTGGCACTTTATGAGCAAGACAGAGCCCATGGCATGGTGCAACGTCCCACAGTGCCAAACTGCCCCTGCACGCCAGTGGGGCAGCCCAGAGGACACAGCTGTGAGACACATGACTCAGCCTTTAGCAGGCTTTTACAAATTCTGGTTCACCAATGTAGCTCCTTGGGAGAACTTTCTGAAGATGAAGATGGAGGGCCTGGTACAATGGCTCAATTGGCAAATCCCCTGCCTACAAGTGCTGGCATCCCTTATGGGCTCCAGTTCATGTCCCTGCTGTTCCACTTCCCATCCAGCTTCCTGCTTATGGCCTAGTGAAGCAGTGGAAAATGGCCCAAAGCCTTGGGACCCTGCACCTTGTGTGAAGCCCAGAGGAGGCTCCTGGCTTTGAGTCAGCGTAGCCTGTGTCATCGGGACTAATTGGGGAGTGATCCAGCAGATGGAAAAGATAAAAAGGAAAATTGAACTTAGTCAGTTAAAGGGGTAAAGTGGTGGTGTCACCAATTCTGCTACCACTATGAGAGACTGAGGTTGAGTCCCAGCTCCTAGGGTTAGCCTGGCCCAGCCCTAGCTGCTTGCAACCATTGGAGGAGTGAACCTGTAGACGGCAGAGGGCTGCCTGCCTCTCCCTCTCCGTTAATGCCTCTGACTTTTAAAGAGATATATGTAAGGCATGTATTGAAATAATTTACCATACACTGAGTGTACTACTCATTGTTCTTGGGAGTGAAAAGAAAGGGGAAAAAGTCATGTGGACTTCAGCTGTTTGTAACATATTTCTTTATGTATAGAAAGATTATGCTCGATATCTAAACCGCATGGGTTAACATCGTCTCTTCCAGGTCTCCTCTAGTCGACCAGACCTTTCCGGCTTTGATGAAGATGATAAGGTATGAACCATGGCTGGGTTGTTAGCAAATCTGAGGCTTGAAGTCAAGAAAAAATCTTAATATTTTTTTTTTTACCATCTCTGCATTTGTTAATTAGTCCTAGGCAAAATATTCTTTTTTGCCCCTCTGTATCCAAGTTCGAATTTGTGGTGTGAAATTCCTATGTATTACCAGTATTACATTGCTACTTAGCATGATGTATTTCGTGTCAAAATGGTGCTGTACGTGGTTCAATATACGTGTGTTTGTGGATGCTTCTTTACCATAGCAAAAGGAAGAATATTTTTAATGGGTGAAATGAGGAATTTTAAAATTAAAGACAGTTTGAAATATTTTTCAGCTACTTTGGGGGCAGGGCAGACATTATACATTGAATTAGCACTTAGGAACTGTGAATGAATCGAAAGGTATAAACACAAATCATGTCCTCAAAATTCAGAATCTAGTCCTTAAAGGCAGAGAGCTCCTGGGAAGTAGAATTAAGAGTAAATAAACCTATGTATGGTATTCACAAGTTTTTCTCCCTTAATTACAATAACACCTTATATCTGTTTCAAACTTATAAATCTCAGATTTCCATAAAGTGACCACACCACCTGTTTTAGCTGAGACAGTCCCAGCTCATTCCTAACACCCAGTAGAATTACCAACGGAACCATTTTTCTCCTCCAAGTGCCTCAATTTGATCTTTAAATTACTCAACCCAGAGTTATGCCACATTGATCAAAGCAGCTCCCTTTGGTGGGGCATTAAGGCGAAATGACCCCTGCAAAGGTTCAGAAGTGGATTTCACTGTATTTGTAAAGACTTCATTCAACAAATACAGTTCATTCACTCTGGATATGTCTTGAATACAAGTTTTTCATATTATTATTAAGCACCTTTTGATATGTTTGAAATGTTTCAAAATACAGAGCACATTCTACCCTAAAAAAAAAAAAAAGGAGGGTGGAGGGAAAGAAACCTTATCCGGGCTTCATTTCATGTTTCAGAGTCACTTACTTACACTTAACCTGCTTTTCTGCCTCTAGGGCTGGCCCGAAAACCAGTTAGACGTGTCTGACTACAGCTCCAGTTTCCAAGACGTGGCATGTTATGGAACTTTACCCAGGGATTCACCTCGGAGGAGTAAAGAAGGTAGTGGAGACACTGAGTTTTGCAGTGACATTTCTGTGTGACTGCTTAGGGCATTGCATAAACCAAGTCCTTCACGGTGACATATAGTAAGGTCGGAAACTGAATCTGGTGAGTTGTGACCCAAACTGCCTACCTGAGCAGAACATACCACATCTACTGAGCTGGTTGCTTTCTGCCTTTAAGCACCCAATCTTGCAAATATTGGTGGTAGCATTTTCACATATCACTTTAGAATTTCCAAGTCATTTTCCAGACATTGTGTCCTGAGTGTGAAGTCAGTTTTGAGAGGTACACAAATCCTGTTCTAGTCCATCATTCTTTGCCAAAAGAGCATGCCCCTCTGTCATGGTTTTGAACTCAAAGGAATTTTTAGGACAACACACTCTGATTTGTGAAGCAGTTGCAGAGACACTGTCAGAGGGCTGACATTGTGTCACAATGGGTTACCCTGCCTCTTGCTGTGCTGCCACCTCCTGTCAGTGTCCATTCAATCCCCTGCTGCCCTGCTTCCTCTCAAACTTCCTTCTAATGTGCTTTTCCAAGCAGCAAAAGGTGGCCCAGGTATCAGGGCCCTGGCCACACATGCGGGAGGTCAGGATGAAATTCCTCCCTGACTCGAAGATCTGACCTGGCCCAAACTTGGCTGTTGTCTCTCTCTTTCTGTCATTCACTCTATGGATTGCTTTACCTTTCAAATAAGTAAATCTTTTAAAACAAAATTTAATTTGACAAGTGGCAACGTAATTATCTAAACACAGGTGGAAGCTTGGTATCCATGGCTTCTGCATCTGTGAATTCCACCAACCATGGATCAAAAATCTTTGGCAGAAAATCAATTGCATCGGTTTTGAACATGTACAGACTCTTTCTCTTGTCATGATTCCCTAAACAATACAGTACAACATCCACAGATCGGTGCCATTATCAGACATTTTGTGTAACCTAGAGAGGATTGAAAGTGGATCAGAGGCGAAGTGCCTGGATTAACCTCCTCACTCCACTCCTGATTCCAGATTGCTACCAGTGCATCCCTTGAGATGCAGCAGGTGGTGGTACAGGTAGTTGTATCCCCACCGTGTACTTGGGAGAACAACATTGAGCTCCTGGCTTCTGGCAGCAACCTGACCCCAACTCAGCTGTTGCTGGCATATAGGCAGTAAACCAACAACTAGGAGTCCTTTCTCTCTTTCTCTCTCTGTCTCTCTTTCTGCCTTTCAAATAGATAAATAGAAATTAAAGTATATTGGAAGCTATAAATTGTATACTTACTTATATAGGATTTATATGCATATTTCATAAATGCATAATTATGTTAATGGATATGTCTTTATATTTGAATATTCTAAATAGATTGAGTAGATATATGTTATGTAGATATATAATGAATAAATACATATTGATATAATTTATGTCTCATCAGCATCCTTGGATTGGGTGTCCAAGGACCAGGAGATAGGAGGCCTCCGAGGCCCTCTCCCCACAGATAATGTGGTCCATCTGTAAATAGTCTCACAGTGGCCTTGATAGCAACAACAACATTCTCCGAATATGCACCTTAGCTCCATTCTCTGATACCTTGTATTCTTACCTACCAAGTTCCATTGTATCAGTGAATTAGGAAGAAAGCATGGAAGAGTAGAAAAAGGCCTCTCACCAAAAATAGGAAATGAGTACTAACTAAGAAGAAAAGTTAGTTTTCCCTCAGTCGTATAAACCGAGGTTGCTTGAGGGGAAAAAAAAAAGGAGTTTGCAAGAAAATGTACACAGTATTCATTGGCTGTGTATTTATTGAGCCTCTCCTTGCTGCCTTCAAGTACAACCATGCAAATAAAACATGTCGTGAGAAAGCACCAGAATGCCTGTGTAGAGAAATAAATGCACACTGAACACCAAGGTGAACTTGACCTGGGAAGTGCCACTCGGGCTGTCTTAGAAAATGTGGTCCGTTATTTCAGTCTCACTGCCTCTGTGACTATCAGGGGTATTCCTGTTCCTGCATGTGTCTGTGTGAATGTTTGGCCAAGCAACGGCATGCAGACCTCAGCGTCACAGCAAACATCCCTGAACAGGGCTAGGGCCTGGCCTGTCGTGTTTTGGTAAGGGTGTGCCGTACCCCTCCACTCACGCCTCTTTGTCTTCCCCAGGTTGCACATCAGAGAACCCTCATGCCTTAACAGTCAGCCCTTTTAAAGCATTCTCTCCTCAGCCGCCAAAGTTTTTCAAACCCCTAATGCCTGTCAAAGAGGAGCATAAGAAAAGGATAGCTCTTGAAGCAAGGCCTCTGCTAAGCCAGGAGGTAAATGCTTGACTTGTCCGTACTGTGCGAAAAAGAACAGAGTCGTGTTGCCTGCAGAGAAGTAGCCGGTTGCATGAATGAGACGGATGCTGCATGCAGATGTACCCGGTGCCTGCTCCACCCACTTCAACGCCTCCTTCCCAAGCATGTGGGCTCGTGGTGGACATTTTTATTTGTTGCAACTGCTGTGGTTTTATTGCTTTGGGTTGATAGCTTTCCAAAGTTAATTTTTGTCTTTCACGTGAGAAAAGAGATGTTCTCCCTGCATACTTTGTGAATCTGAAAGGCTTTGACTTGTTTTAAGAAAGCTGAGTTTGCTTTTCTTTCTTTCTTTTTTTTTTGCCACAGAATCTGTGTGGTCCTGTCCAATGTCACCAGTAGTTTAACTCTGACCTGCCAAGTCGGCTGCTACATTTCTCATATGTCATACAAGTGCCAGCATTGCTTCTCTAACATGCATGTACTTGATATGTAGTATTTCGGCTGTCACCGTCGTCTGTGTGTGATGCATCTGTGTGTCTTAACCTTTTCAGAGCATGCCTCCATCTCAGGCACATAACCCTGGCTGCACTGTACTCGCAGGAAGCAAGGGCAGCAGCATGCCAGTAGAGCACAGTAGCAAACGTGAGAAGAAGATTGTAAGTTCTGGAACTGTTTCTCTCATATTGCCTGGTGGTGGGTGCAAGGCCCTTTCTCAGACAACCGTCCATGTGTTTAGAAGACATTAAAACATGTGTTGGGTCTTTGCTTTTTAAAAACATTGATATACACATTTGTATAACCCTTGGTATTGAAACTTTGCATGAAACTGGCCTTGACCACTGATTTTGGTTGCTGTTAATTTAATGATTGAGTGATCTATTTTCCTTAATATGAAATTTCTTTAAAGGCTTGGGGGGAGACACTTTTAATGATTCTAGTCTTTGTAAGGAAAAAAACGTCAAAGAGATCATTTTAATGCAGCGGTCTTTCTAATGGGCCTGTATGTATTGCCTAGATTCTGAATTTGATCTACCTAGAGGAATTGTACTTGCTTGGAGTAAGTAATCCTGCATTTAGGTGTTGTGTGTGTTTGAGGCCTTTTACATGCTGCCTGATGCTGTTGTTACTAAGGGAACTGTAGTTTGAAGCTGCTCTACCAGCCGTCGCCACCTAACTCTGTCATTGCTCCAGCTCAGGTAGCTCTTGATACTTAACCAGAAAAGCGCATTCCAACCCCATGGTGTCAGCCTGGCTCTCTGGGTGGACTGCCTCTATTTTGCCTCAGGTGGAGTAAAACTTTTCCTGTGAAAACATTCCTCAGCACTTGTTTGTTTGTTTGAAAGTATGCTTACTTACTTTGAAAGGCAAAGTTACAGAGGGGGAGAAGTTCTTCCATCTCTGCTGATTCACTCCCAAAAGGCTGCAATGACCAGAACTAAGCTGGTCTGAAGCAGGAGCCAGAAACTTGTGGATTTCCTGCAGGTGTGTAAGGGACAAAGCAGTGGAGCCATCTTCCACTGCTCTTCCAGACCCTTAGTAGGGAGATGGTCAAAGTGGAGCAGCCAGGCCTTGAACCAGCACTCCTATGGGATGTTGGCATTGGAGGCAGTGGCTTCACTCACTATGTCAGAACTCTGGCCCACCAGTGAACTTCTTGTATCTCATCTCTCCATCTCCTGTGGCTTCCTAAGCTTTGAAACAGTAAAACCAGTTTGTAAGGAGAGCAGGCTGCTTGATGCCTCATCTGCACATGGTCTGCTGTGACAGGGAAGGTATGGGAATCTCATTTGCTCGATGCCCCTTGGCAGATCCATTCCAAAGGGTCATTAGCGTGAGATCATTTAACATACACTTCTAACACATGCGTGTGAAAACTGACTGCAGCTGACTCTGATTCTGTAGTTGGCGGCTCACGTAGTGCTTGGGACTGCTGGTGGGGTGTTACCTTCTCATTCCCAGTGCACACAAGAAGCACAAGCACTCTGTCCCTTCCCTTGTCTGTCCTTTGTCCCCTCCCCAGACTGTAGACTTCCTTGTCCCTCATCCCAAAGCTTCCACCTGGCTTCTGATGCAGAAGCTACATCTCCTCCTTTGCCCTTTGTCCCTGATCAACAGAGAAAGAGATCTCCCATCCGTATTGGCCCACACCCAGAATCCCACGACTGGGTTTGAGCTGGCCCAAGCCAAGTCCCTGGATCACAATCTAGTTCTCCCAGGGAATGCAGTGAAGGAAGCTGGGATTGGAAACTAAATCTGGGTTCTCATCCAGATATGCCAGTATGGGACCCAGACATTTATTTTTTAAGATTTTATTCATTTGAAAGTAAAAGTGTATAGACAGACCAGGAGCCAGAGATGGTAAGATCTTCTGTCTGCTATTTTACTCCCTAGATAGCCACAGTAACCAGAGCTGGTTGGTCCAGAGCCAGGAACTTCCTTTGAGTCTCCCAAGTGTGTGCAAGGGCCCAAGAACTTGGACCGTACTCTGTTGCTTTACCAGGCATGTTAGTAGGGAGTTGATTCAGAACTAGGGCAGCCAAAACTCAAATGGATGACCATATGACATGACCCTGTGACACAATGCTAGCTAGTCCTGTTTTATCTATATGAAAGAAAAAGTTAGAAAGAGAATTTTTGCATCTGTTGATTCACTGCCTAGATGGCCACCATTACCAGAGATGAGCTTGGATAAAGCCAGAAACCAGGAGTTTCTTCCAATTCTCCCTTGGGGTTACAGGGGCCCAAACACTTGCTCCATCTTCCATTGCTTTCCCAGTTGATTAGCAGGGAGCTGGATTGGAAGTGGAGCAGCCAGAAATCAAATTGACACTCATGTAGAATGCCGGCATTGCGGGCAGCAGTTTTACCAACTGGCCCATAGATACGAACTTTTTATTTAAAAAAAAAAATTTTTTTTTTTTAAATTGCAAAGTCAGATATACAAAGAGAAGGAGAGACAGAGGAAGATCCTTCAGTGCAATGGCCAGTACTGTGCCAATCCGAAGCCAGGAGCTCTTCCTGGTCTCCCACATGGTTGCAAGGTCCCAAGGCATTGGGCCGTCCTCGACTGCTTTCCCGGGCCACAGGCAGGGAGCTGGATGGGAAGCGAGTCTGCTGGGATTAGAACTGGCGACCATATGGAATCCTAGCGCATTCAAGGCGAGGACTTTAGCCACTAGAACATTGTGCCAGGCCCTGAACTTTTTATTTTTTAAGATTTATTTTATTTTTATTTGGAAAGGCAGATCCACAGAGAGAAGGAGAGACAAAGGTCCTCCGACTGTCGACTCCCCAGTTGACTACAGTTGTCAGAGCTGAGCTGATCCAAAGCCTGGGCCAGGAGCTTCTTCCAGGTCTGCCCCACAGGTTCAGGGTCATCCTAAGGCTTTGGGCCGTCCTCCTGTGCTCTTCTAGGTTACAACCAAGGAACTGGATTGGAAGTGGAACAGCTGGGACATGAACAGGTGCCCACATGAGATCCTGGCACATACAAGGCGAGAATTTAGCCACTGAGCCATGATGGCGCTGGACCCAGATCCCGTCCTTTAGCAAAATGGGGCCAACTCCAGTAACTCCAGGTGCTTCCAAGACAGTGGAGGCTATTCATGCCCACTGTCCTCCCAGAAGGACTGTAGACAAAAGTCCTGGGAACTAGAGCCACTACTGTTCTTCTGAGAAAAGAACTTTCTTGTGGACAGCACGGAACTGATTACAGCAGGAGTGGAAATTGCATTGCTCTAGTGAAATACCTTGTAGAGTCGTCACTGCTCTCAAGTGAATTTTGATCCCTTTATTACAAAGACATTTTAATTTGGAAGTCAGAGTTACAGAAAGAAAGCAGTCTTCCATCCTCTGTTTTGCTTCCCGTGTGGCTGCGAAGGCCAAGGCTGAGCAAGGAGCCCAAAGCTAGGAGCTAAGAACTAGCAGTTTTCATTCAGGTTTCCCATGTGGGTGAGTGCAGAGGTCCAGTCAGTTGGACCATCCTTCACTGCTCTCGCCCAGATCATCCACAGGGATGCAGCCTGGCAATGGAATATCAGAGACACAAACCAGTGCTCATATGGAATGTCAGCATTGCAGGCACCGGCTATTTTTTTTTTTTTATGGTTTGTTTACTTGTATTGGAAAGTCCGATATACGGAGAAGAGGAGACAGAGAGAAAGATATTTCATCCAATGAATTACTACACAAGTGGCTGCAATGGCCGGAGCTAAGGCAGTCCAAAGCCAGGAGCCAGGAGCTTCTTCCAGGTCTTCCACAAGGGTGCAGGATCCCAAGACCCTGGTCAGTCCTCCACTGCCACAAGCAGGAAGCTGGATGGGAAGCGGGTCTGCTGGGATTAGAACCAGCAACAATATGGGCTCTGGGCGAGTGCATGGTGAGGACCCCAGCCACGAGGCTATCACACAGGGATCAGGCAGCAGCTTTGTAGCCATGACATCACAACACCAGCCCTTTGGTCCTTTTTTTTCTTTTTTCAAACATGAATCACTTTGAGCGTTCATTCTTTATATTATTTTTTTTTAATTTTTATTGGAAAGTCAGGTATACAAAGAGGAGGAGAGACAGAGAAAGATATTCTGTCCAATGATTCACTCCCTGAGTGGCCACAACAGTCGCTGGAACTTCGCTGATCCAAAACCAGGAGCCAGAAGATTCTTCAGGTCGCCCGCACAGGTGCAGGGTCCCAAGGCTTTGGGCCACCCTTGACTGCTTTCCCAGGCCACAAGCAAAGAGCTGGATGGGAAGTGGGGTACCCATATGGGATCACAGTGCATGCAAGGCAAGAACTTTAGCCACTAGGTTACCATATCGCTCCCCCCCCTTTTTTTTTTAAAGATTTATTTTATTTTTTTATTGGAAAGGCAGATATACAGAGAGGAGAGACAGAGAGGAAGATCTTCTGTCCGATGATTCACTCCCCAAGTGAGCCGCAACGGTTGAAGTTATGCCGATCCGAAGCCAGGAGCCTCCTCCGGGTCTCCCACACGGGTGCAGGGTCCCAAAGCCTTGGGCCGTCCTAGACTGCTTTCCCAGGCCACAAGCAGGGAGCTGGATGGGAAGAGGGGCCGCTGGGATTAGAACGGCGCCCATATGGGATCCCAGGCGTGCAAGGCGAGGACCTTAACCACTCGTGCCATCGTGCCGGGCCCAACTCCCCCTTTTTTTTAATAAAGGAGTTTTGTATGTAGGTAGATATCAGATGTGTTTAAGTTAAGTCACAGAATCCAAATGAAGATTTAGCTAGAGAGAAGCTTAAGAGCTTGACTCCATTCTCCACTTTTAGGTGGGGTTTGAACTTCTTTTGTCTTTAAGAAATTATAGGAATTTGCTTTGTTTACATTTCTCCAAGATAATGATGTTTTGACTAAATAATGTCTACTTAGAGTTTCTCAGCCTACATGCCAACCCAGCTAAGTTCTCTTTTATCTCTCTCCTTGAAGACAGTAACTCAGTAAACTTTCAGTCTCCTTTTAAATGTTTGAAAACATTTACTGTCATGGTAGCTCAGCCAGCTAAACTTCCACCTGCAAGCACCAACATCCCAAATGTGCACCGGTTCTTGTCTTGGCTGCTAAACTTCCAATCCAGCTGCCTGCTTATGGCCTAGGAAAGCAGTGGACGGTCCCCCATGGGGGACATCCAAAAGAAACTCCTGGCTTCAGATCGGTTGAGCTCTGGCTGTTGCAGCCATCTGGGGAGTGAACCAGTGGGTGGAAGATCTCGCTCTCTGTCTTTCTCTCCCTCCCTCCCTCTCTCTAATTCTGCCTTTCTTTCAAACAAATAAGCCTTGAGAAGAGGGAGAGATTCCATGAGCTGATCCCCTCCTCCTGCTGGCTGTGGCAGTGGAGCTGGGCCAGGCTGATGCTATATCTGTATCTCCCTCTTGGGTGATAGTAGCTCACATACTTGGGCCATCCTTGGCTGCTTCCCAGAAAGGCTAACAGGAAGCCGGGTTAGAAGTGGAGAAGGAGACTCTGGCTCAGGCAGGATGCGGGCACCCCAAGCAGCAGCTTAGGCCCTGGTGCCACGGTGCCTTGCCCCCGAACTGGGTTTCTTTGCCAGAGATTCAAACACTTAAAATTGAGTTTTGAATATTAACTTGACAAGTAGTGAACTGAATCAGATAGCCATGATCCTTTTTTGTCTGTGTATTTACATCCCAGAGGAAGAATACTCTGCCACTTGCACGAATTTTGAACAGTGCTGCTTAATTTAATGCAGCTGAGGGCTCAATGGCAAGAGGTTATTGTGGCCCAAGATTCTAATTTGCTCACCTGAGGAACCTGATCACCATTTGATATTTATCATGGAATAGCCAAAGGATTAAAACTGCCGATTTCTTTATTTTCTTGATATTTAAATGCATAAATTATAAACTAGTTTTTAAAAAAACATGAAAGCATTAAAGAGTAGCCGACAACTTTTGAAATGTTTAGCATCTTAGGAGATGCCTAAGAATTATCATGACAAATTCAGCAGATGTAATTTCTGTTCTTTGGTGAACAACCAGTAGCCACATTGGGAAGCTCCATTTCTCAGACACATTCATGTTCTCTGGCTCAGAAAATAACCTTAATGAGCACAGCTGATGTCTTCTTTACAGGTTTGCTTAGTCACCCAGTTAACAATTGTGCAGATATTTTAATTATCTTATTAAATCAAATGGCCAACACAGAAGGCTATTTTTAGGAGTTCTAAGTTCTATCAGGGTCCAGGATTATTCTAAAAAGGAAAGATCCCAGGCAAAACTCCATGGGGGCAGGACCATGCCTCCCTGCTCACTGTTGGTGTTCCCAGGTCCTTAGGACACTGGCTGGCACGTAGCACCTGCTTGATGAACACCTGCACTGAGTGAGTCTCCTTTAAAAAAAAATTGTTTGGAAGGCTGAGTGAGACGGAGAGAGAAGGTGAGATGGAGGGAAGGGGAAAAAGAGACAGATATTGCATCTCACACCCCCAGAAAGCTGCAATGAGTGTGGCTGCGCCAACCTGAAGCCAGGAGCGTGGAAGTTCATCGAGGTGTCCCGTGTGGGCCTCCCTGCTCCACTGCCCTCACATACACACTGAGTGCAGATTGTGAGAACAAGGGGAGACATGGCCCTTCTGTGCCTCTGGCTGTCCCTGTACTTATTTAAGGCCAAAGAAGAAGCACCACAACAATGAAGAACCATGCGGGATTCAAAAGACCACCGCACATCCATCTCAGCCTTCTCTTAGGCCTTGTTAGGATGGAGTGGACACAGACATCCTCCCTCATAGGTAACAGTGTTTACATTCACAGGAGTCTGGAAGTGCTACACCTGTGTTCACTCTAAGTGACACAGACAGAAACAATGCAGTAAGTGATGAATTTGACCCAGATGGGAAAGAACAAACAAAACTCTGATCATGCAAATGTGAATGCACGTAGTACTCAAATAGATTAAATTTGTCTCAACAATTCTGTGGCGATCTGGAGCTGATTCTGACCTGTGCTTCATTTCTGTAGGACTCTGAGGAGGAGGAGAACGAGCTGGAAGCCATCAACAGGAAGCTGATAAACTCCCAGCCTTATGTACCTGTGGAGTTTGCTGACTTCAGTGTTTACAATGCCAGCCTGGAGAACAGGGAATGGTTTTCTTCTAAAGTCGACCTGTCCAGCTCCCGGGTCTCAGACAAAGAAGTGTCCCGTAGCCCAACCACCAGCAGTATTACCAGTGGCTACTTCTCCCACAGTGCCTCTAACGCCACTCTGTCTGACATGGCGGTCCCTTCCAGTGACAGCTCAGATCAGCTGACCACTCAGCTGAAGGATGCAGACCCCAGCGAGCACCCCAGCCCATCGCTTGTGCACGACGGCAGACCATCCTCAGACAAAGAGTCGGCAGAAGCGGAAAAAGGCCTGGGAAGGGACAAAACGATCCCAGTGCCGTTCCAGGAAAACAGTGCCTTAGCCAAAGGGAGCCCATCGTCCCGGCCCAACCTGGAGAAAAACTCCAAAATGCAGTGTAGCACTGGCTCGTGTTCAGAACTGGATGCTGGCCCCAGCAAAAATGGTCCCCCAGCCCGAGAATTCCGCCCCAGGGAGGTGACCATAGAGCATACCACTAACATCTTGGAAGACCATTCTTTCACAGAGTTCATGGGGGTGTCAGATGGGAAAGACTTTGACAGTTTGACAGATTCTTCTGCTGGAGAGCTTCCAGGGAGGAGGAAGCCACCAGATAAAGCGGACAGTGAGCGTGTCCCCGAGAGGCAGCCTGATACTGGCCAGATGCATTGCAAGCTAGAGAATGACCCGGTAATGAATCCCAGAGGCAGCCCCCCCAGTTCTGGACTGTCACTGAGCACGGCTCAGTGCACACTCACCCCTAGAAGCCCTTCTCCAGTGACTTAGTGGGAGCAAGTCATTCAGATGCTTCTCTGGGGCTGACAGACCCTGTGGGGAGCAAGTTCACATTCTTGGCCCACTGACCCTCTCTGAGTAGTTGTGCATTGGGAACCGCAGTGGGGCCGTGGCATCTGTAAGACCATGTGTAACAGGTGTATGGGCTATTGTTAACATGAGCAGATGAGTAAGAATCTGTCAGCCTCTGTCCATTCCCTGAGATAGTTAGTTCCTGGCTACCCCCAAAGTAACACTGGGGTAACAGACCCTATTTCATAAGATCAGTGATGCCTATATTAGATGGGAGGGACTATAGACTAATTCCCTGAGCAACTGAAGTCTGGGTTTGTTTATAATGTGGATTAATTTTCATATTAGAACAAACTGGATTTCCGCTAATATTCCCAAGGAAAATTGCACTTTTCTGGTGTAAGTCAGTGCGTTTCTGCACATTCATTTTCTACGTTACACTACTTTTTTCCCATTCCCATTCGCTCTTATGGTCCCCTGTCTGTGCGAGGAGGTTGGGGAGAGCCCCCACTTAGCAGTGCAAAGAGGCGGCAGTGTAGAGAGAAGCTTGGTGAGGGGTAATGTAACCACGGTGACAGCTGCCTCCCAAGCTGTCCCCTCTGCTTTCCATACCAACAGCCCTTAGAATTTTAGCGTGTGGTCTGATCACGTCATAATACAGCATGCACACAAACTGCCAAACCACTCAGGGTAATCTCTTAAAACAAGGAAATAATTTCTTTCCCCATCAGAAAAAGAAGTCACTCATTTTGCATGCATCTGTCCTTGTAAGCAAAACGTGTATTTGTTCAACAGTCTTCAACTTCCTTCACACTGGTCTTGAAACGCAATCTGCTTAGTTGGTTCTGTATCCACCTTTTAAGTGATTCCTAGAGAAAAATGAGGCCATCTCCTCTTAATTCTTCACCCTAAGAATTGTGTTTGCTTTTCCAACCCAAATATGCAGCAGACTCAGTACAGACTGAGACACTACTTCTTCAAAGTTCAGGTCCCTAGGAGTCACTGCTTTCCACTGTCAATTTTTGCCTCAGATAGGATGGCCCGCAGGGTACAGGACTTTCATAAGCCCCCACTGGTAAAATGATGTGAGGTAGAGAGGGGCTGCCTCTTGTTTCCTTGCCTCGATTTCAACAAACAGGAGAAGCTTAGCTTTCAGTAGATTCTAAAATGATAAGTCCCTGAATTTATAAAAATGTTATAAATCAGGATGGTGAGATTATGGAGAAAACTTTAAAAAAATATTACTTCTGTAGTTTTGTTTAAATTGATTCCAGTAAGTTGTTTAATGATTCAAACTGAAGTTTGACTTTCGTTCTAACCCTAAAATTATTGAGAGTGTAACTCAACAAACAGGAGCGCCCCCCACCCCATTTTTTTTTAACTTGGGTATTGTTATCATTACTTTGCCTGGAAGTGTCATGGAGCGGTTGAGGTTTTCCCTGATATAGTGTGGATGCCAGAACTGGGTTCCTTCTTGAACGCAGTCCTGTGGAAAAGCACCTTTCCCCCTCTCACAGGTGGGCCGTCCTTGTGGGTGGGGTGTGACGGTAGGGACAAGAGCCTCGGACTCACCAGCCTCTGCGTTCCAGGGAGACGCGGCTGCACGGTGAAAGGCGCTAGCGCGGCCTCCTCCCCCGGCCACAGCTTGGTGTCTGTCCGCCTGGTCGCCTTGGGAAAGCACCATCCCCATCTTGCAAACATGCTGCTGCCCAGCCCACCTGACCTCCAGCCAGCAGCAGCCGAGAAGCTGTGCACACCCTGGGCCACCTCGCTCCGCCTCCTGAGAGGGAGAAGCAGCACTTTGTTTTCCAGAAAGCAAGAGAACCGAAAGTCCTGGATGACCGAAATGACAGCATTTGTGTTTGCACTTCCTACACACCCCTACTGTGTAGAAACCTCGACAGATTCCAGCAGACTTTATTCTTGTACAGTTTTAATCTGTTCTGACTGTAGAATCTGGAGTCAGTGCTCTCATTGGATTGTTTTTATAAATAATATATATATTATGTATATGAAATGTGTATCTATAGTGGGTCTGGGGACAGACAAGGCTGCACACTAAAATGCAGATAAAGGTGATTTGTAGAAAATCATAAGGTACTGGTCTTTGTTACAAAACCTCTAGAGCATCTCTCAGAGACAAGTGGATGAAAAGTAGCTTATTGCCTAAGAACAAGGTTGCAAATCCGCCCTTGCAGAAAAGGTTACAGACGCTTGTTCTTTATAACCAAAGAACTTCCACAAGACTGAACATTTCTGCTGTCCACTCTGGTCTTTTGTGAATGTAATGTATTTGACCACCAGTTGGGTGCCATCTTTCCCTTGGCCGCCAAGCCACGTGCTGCTCTTCTCTGTGCTGTTTGCTGAGTGCACTGAGAAATCTCACAGCTCTCATCCGTGGTCTTCCACTGGGCCCACCAGCTGCCTTTGGGACACTGTGTCTTAACCTCTGGGGGTGCATGGGCTCTGAGCACGGTGTTTTCATCCACCTGGTCTGACGCAGTGGGCAGCATAGCACAGACAGCAGTATTACTGTAAGAACCTATGAGAGCAGTTCCAAGAGTAGGGGTTGGGCTCAGGGAGGGGCATTAACTTGGGGTGTTGTTCTTTGTGGTTTTTGTTTCAGGTTGGTAGGTGTGTCGTGGTGTGCTTTGCTCTTGTGATTTCTGCTTAGTCCTGGAAGATACTGAAGAGATGGACAGAGCTTTAGAACAAAGCGCCACTGGCTCACATGTCGCAGTGTCTGCAGGAGAACGATTGCATAGATGACCCTGCTGACTCACAGATGGAATCGCCGAAGGAGTGTGTGTGCAGAGGTTTTTGCGAAAGTCCTGTCTCTACCCACGCCACAAATGGCTGTCCAATTGGTCTGGAAGAATAGCTCTAAATGCAAGAGCCAGAATGAGAGAAAACATACAGCCTTCTGTATCTTTGTTCTTTGAAGTTCTTAGTGTTGGTAAATGAGTAAGATATTGGAGACATTAATGAAAAGCTGCTGTTCATGAATTTTGTATATAGTGAACTGACTGTAGTATTTTACTATTGTCTGTTTTAAAAAATGTAATTTATATCTCTTTCAAACTTTATTGTATTTAATTGGCACAGATTTGTTCGTGTGTGTGGGTGTGTGTGGGTGTATATGTGTTGTGTGTTTAGAATACAGAACGTCTAATTCAGATTTTAAAGCACCCCTTGTTTGTCGTTAATAACCCTGCCATTAGTTCAAGCTCTCATTGCTTCCATGTGTGCATGTTCCCATCACGTAAGACGGTAAGGTCAGCTTACATTCATGGACGGTGTGCTATGTACAAGGCACTGTTCCAGTCATTTGCTGTTCGTTATCTCATTTAATCCTCTTGGCAGCAGGTGTCATAGGCCCCATAGTCACTGGGCATTTGCCAGAGGAAGAGCAGGAGAGAAGTTAGTGCCAGCGCAGCAGCAGGCACTTCGTCCATCTGTTCCCTCTGTGTTGCACCTGCTGATGTGTCCTGGGGGCCTCTTGGGAGGAGGACTGGCTGACTGGCTGCCCGCACAGAACAGAAGGCTCGTAACTGAGTGAGTGTCCCAAGTTCTGCACTGACCAGCATGCCCTGGGGCAGGAGATGGGTGGCACCCTGGAGCAGGTAGGATGTGTTCCTGGTGGTTAAATAAATATCTACTGTAAGGTACAGTGACCTGCCACCCATGGAAGAGGGGGGAAAAGTGGCTCATTGTGAAAGTTTTATCTTTTTTTTTTTTTTTGAAAGTTACTTATTTCTTTGAAAGAGTTACAGAGAGGGAAAATGGAAAGAGAGCTTCCATTGACTGGCTCACTCTCCAGATGACTGCATATTTCAGGGCTGGGGCAGGCAGAAGCCAAAAGCCAAGAGCGTCACCCAGGTGTGTGGGCACAGGAGCCCAAGCACTGCTGCTTCTCCCAGGCCGTTAACTAGCAGGGAGTTAGACTAAAGCAGAGCAGCGAGGACTTGAACTTGCACTAAAATGAGATGTTGGCATTGCAGGCAGAGATTTTACTTGCCATGCCATAGTATTAGCCCCTGAAAATTTTTTATAAAAACAATATATATTTTTTTAAGGATTTGTTCATTTTCATTGGAAAGTTATATCTGCAGAGAAAAAGATCTTCCACCTGCTGATTCACTCCACAAGTAGCCACAATGGCCAGAGCTGAACCAATCCAAAGTCAGGAGCCAGGAGCCTCATCCGGGTCTCCCATGTGGGTGCAGGGTCCTTAGGCATGGGCCATCTTTGATAGCCTTCTCAGCGGGAAACTGGAGGGAAAGTGGAGCAGCCGGATACAAACCAGCACCCATATGGGATTCCAGCACATTCAAGGCAAGGACTTTAGCCACTGTGCTACTGTTTTGGGACTATAAAAACAATATTTCTTCAAAATATTTTTTCAGAAAAATCTCAGCTATTCATAATAACCTTTCTGTGCCTGCCAATAATGAGTTCTAGTTATATAGGAAAATTGATTAGATCTATAGGAAGATAATGGAGAGAAGACATTGGGAAGCCTTGCCAGTGTGGAGCCCGACTAGCTGTAATCCTGGTTTGATATGATAGTGTGTGGGCTGGGAGCTCCCTAATCCTCAGGTTTAGATGACACATCAAAGAGAGGTGCTCCCTCTCACAGGCAGAGGTGCTGGAACTGCCATAGTCTGAAGTCACTACCACTTGCTGTTGATAGGTAAATGCCTCAAACCCTCCTCCTTACACCTATGTGACCCTCAGTCTTAAAAAGTCTGATGCTGTTGCCCGTTAGTCAGTAGTCCACGTGCGTGATTATCAGTTCCATGCACCCAAGTCCCTCGCTGCCAGACAGGAAACATAGCTATTCTGAACAGAAGGAATTCTTTGTGTCATCTTGCAGGAGGTAGGGGCTGGTTCAAATCCTCCTGCTCTACTTTTAACCCAGCTCCCTGCTAATGTACCTGGGAAAGCACCAAAAGATGGCCCAAGTGCTTGGGTCCCTGCACTGATGTGGGAGACCCCAAAGAAGCTTCTGGCTCCTGGTTTTGGTCTGGCCAAGCCCTGACCACTGAGGCTACTTGGGGAATGAACCAAAGGATTGTCTTTCTCTGTCTCTGCCTTTCAAATAAATAAGAGTTTATGCATTAAAAAAAATAAAAATAAGAAATTTGCAAAGGGGAGGCCCGGCGGCGTGGCCTAGCAGCTAAAGTCCTCTCCTTGAACGCACCAGGACCCCTTTTGGGCGCCGGTTCTAATCCTGGCAGCTCCACTTCCCATCCAGCTCCCTGCTTGTGGCCTGGGAAAGCAGTCGAGGATGGCCCAAAGCTTTGGGACCCTGCACCCATGTGGGAAACCTGGAAGAAGATCCTGGACCTGGCTTCGGATCAGCATAGCATCGGCCATTGCGCTCACTTGGGGAGTGAACCATCGGACAGAAGATCTTCCTCTCTGTCTCTCCTCCTCTCTGTATATCTGACTTTCCAATAAATAAATAAATCCTTAAAAAAAATGTTTTTTCTTGCAAAGGGGAGGTGGGAATTTGGTCATCCTCAAAATGTATTTTGAATTTTATAGAACGAAAAGGTGAAGGAATCTATTTGTTTTTAAAGGGATAATACCAACTAAAAATATAATTCAAAACAAAAAGAACAAATCATCACTCCCTTTACCGAGTGCAAGATCAATAGTATTTAGATCACTGACATCATCATTTGTATTTCAACAAGAGAACAAACTGGCATTACATGTTTTATTATGCAAAGGTGAGGTGGGCCATGCCAGACTGGGCTGCAGCTCCCACCAGCACACGTAAGACCCAGGACAGGGAGACAGGGTGAGCAAAGTAGGGGAACTATGGGGAGTTTCCTGCTGGGCCACTGTTCCCGCTGGTGCCATGTGAGAGCTGGGACTGGGGCAAACCAGGCTGGGCAGGGCTACAAAACCCATTGGCCCACAAGTGTGCTGGCTTATGGGGAGAGCCAGCCTGGGTTTAATGACCATGTCTTCTGGTGCATGCATGAGCCAGAGTAAGTACAGGCTGGTCGGGCTTTGCTGCAGCATCAGCTGCCAAGTGCCAGGACTGAAGGCAAGTGATATCATGCTAGACTGCAGAACCAACTGGAAAGTTCAAGATCCAGGGCTGGTAGTGGGCCCAATAAGGAAACTGTGACTACCCTCTTATGGGTTGCAGCTCCCACAGGTGAGCATTTGAACCAGGGCTGGGAGCAGGCCTGGCTGGGCAAGTGGTAGCATCTGCTGGCATAAGCGTGGGCTGGATAGTGGGATCAATTAGTCTCAGCTAGGCCAGAGCACCCATTAATGTGTACAGAAGCTGAATGGGATGCAGGACAGACTGGACCAGAGCAATCTGCTGCATATACCAGCATGAGCAGAAATCAGGGCTAGGACTGGCTGGGTGGGGTTATTGGGAATTGCTCTAACTAGGCTGAGTTTCCGCTGATGTGTGTGAAGGCCTAATATGTGGTGAGAAGGGTTGGACTTCAGCATCCATTGGATGGCATAAGTGTTGGGGTTGGGGACCTGGTACGGTAGCCTAGTGACTAAAGTCCTCACCTTGCATGTGCCAGGATGCCATATGGGCACTGCTTCTAATCCTCATGGCCCTGCTTCCCATCCAGCTCCCTGCTTGTGGCCTGGGAAGGCAGTCAAAGACAGCCAAAGGCTTTGGGACTCTGCACCCACGTGGGAGACCCAGAAGAGACTCTGGTCTCCTGGCTTTGGATCAGCGCAGCTCTGGCCACTGCAGCCACTTGGGGAATGAATCATCGGAAGGAAGATCTTTCTTTCTGTCTCTTCTCCCTATATATCTGACTTTCCAATAAAAAGAAAATAAATCTTAAAAAAGAGAAAGAATTGGATACAGAACTAACCAGGCAACTACAACCACCATTTTGTGTGTAGGCTGATGTGACGGACGGACTAGGCCGGACCCTGCACTGGCTGGCACACATGGGAGTCAGGTCGGGGTCACCTCTGGCAAGGTTTCTTTGGGAACCACCCCCCTAGCTAGACCACTGGACTCCAAGCACGGGGAACTCATGGGAACTGTGGTCTGACTATGGAGTGCATGTGTCAGAACAGCCTCCTCAGTTGCTGAAGCCTGTGCAGTAAACAGCATGCCCAAAGGCACATGGGGGACATGACGGCTCATCAAGGCCTACAGAGGACATCTAGTACCATAGCAGCGTATGGAGAACAAAATAATTGAACAACTCTCCTGCCAACTTTGTCAGCAAGTATCTGGGTGAGTGGAGACTTTAAGGTGGATGCTGTCAGGCAATGGACCTTGGAAGAATTTCTTCAACCTTGGAGCGACAAAATCCACAGCGCCTCAGAACTATGGAAACCACTGAAGCAGTACCCTCTGACCAGGCTCCACACTGGGGACCCTAGGATGACATCAAGTGGCCATCCGCCATTCCTAAATATGTTGGGCGGCTAAGAGTGGCCCTCTCCCCTTCCCCCGGATACAGGAAGAAAAAAAAATGGAAACAATGGTCTCATCCACCTTCTATTCCTCAACCCTTCCTGCCCCGATCAGTGGTCCATAAAGGCAAGCATCCTTCTCAACCATGTAAACATCATCAAAAATAAAATAAATTTATTATTTAAAAAAACAAAAGTAGATAAACTTAGACATGTGCTTGACAGTTCATTTCCAAAGTACAGTACAATGCATATCATCATCACATTTGTTTCTAGTTACTTGGATATAGTCATTTTATCATAACAAAAATAGAACCGTCTGTTTTGTATGGCACCAACTTGTGGGACTAAGAACTGGGTTAGGGTAAAGACAGCATCTCCTAAATTATGTCAGTCTGGCCAGTAGTTAATTCTTAAGTGGCAATGTTCAAGCTTTACAAGAACTTTGGGAGGAAGAGACAATAACATAATTAGCTTTGTTTAAAAAGTAAAGCTTGCTGCGTTCAACGCAACAGCCTAGTGGCTAAATCCTCCCTTTGCATCTGCTGGAATCCCATGCTCATGCCAGTTTGAATCCCAGTTGCTCCACTTCCCATCCAGCTCCCTGCTTGTGGCCTGGGAAAGCAGTAGAGGACGGCCCAAGACCTTGCGACTCTGCACCTGCATGGGAGACCTGGAGGAAGTTCCTGGCTTTGAATCAGCTCAGTCCCAGCTGTTGCAGCCACTTGGGGAATGAACCAACGGGTGGAAGATC